ACTACATTTAGAGATTTAATTAAAACAAATATCTAAATTCCATTAATTGATTCTTTCGAACATATGGAATCATGATTAGTTATATTTTATTTTAATTAATGTTAACTAATGGTAATTAAGAATCCATTTATACACACCCAGTAAAACCAGTCAAAACATTTTTTGTTAAATACGCATAATTTAAAACGAATTTATCGAACTCATCTTAAAACAGACAAGCTGCTGAATTCCTAGTCAGGGTTGAAGTAGGAAGTTTTTAATGCCACTTGTTTCGGGGATTCCCTTGGCCATCAATTGTGTAAATACTTTTGACTGTACTATAGAACCACATGTAGTGCTCTCTGACCCAAAACGGTCAAGGCAACTTCAAACGACCATCACAAAATGACCAAACCAAAAAAAAATATACTGACCCTGTGCACTTTTCGCTTGGGCTTGCCCTGTGAAAAACTTGAAATCTCCCGCAGACAATGGAGCAGGATGGAAAAGCTGACTCACAGACACGCCAAAAATAGTGGATTCGAAAAAATCTATGAGAGACACTGTAATTAATTACTTGCATTTGAGTGCACTTTATATAAAATTTCAACCATACCATTTTTGGTAGGTTTTTGCGTTCTTTGGGTTGCCAAATATCGAAATTGTTTCGGCCGTTTGGTTTTCCCCTCCGAAACTATGGCTCATGCCAAGCGATTGTTGTCTCAACTAGCCAAATTAATTGGCTTAATTTGGAAGCTTAGCTTGGTTGGCTGACTACTTTTTTCTAAGGTGTTAACAATCGTGTTTGCATGTTGGTTTATTGCCAAACAATCGATGCATTTTTTCGGCTATTTTAGAACTTGAATGGGTGGCCAGTCACCCAAAAAAGCAAAAGCAAGCAAAAAAAAAAAAAAAAAACACTTGGCTAATCGAGTAATCCGTACATAATAATTAGCTTATCCGAGCAACGACCTTCAACTTCATCAATTAGCTTATAAATATGCCTTGGCCACTGGCAAGATTTAATTGTAGTTAATTTATGTAAATGTTTGCAACTTTACTCCACGATAATCATTCCATTCCAAACCTATTTTATTAATTACATGGTAGCGATTCCTCCAGGGAAATACAAAGAGAAATAAATAAAGCCAAAGGTCAGTGAAAGGGGTCAGATGTGTTTTGATTTGACCCTAATTGGGTTAATGAAAATCCCGTGGAGAGGCGAACAAATATTTGGGTAAAAGTGGCTACAAATTATTGCTCGCTAACCGCAAGATCAACCTTGACTATCACGGTTGACAAACGAGTAACATTATTAAATTAGCTACTATTGGAGATTAATTACCACCATATTAAGCCGAGAGTTTGCTGAGAAATTAATCAGTTCGTATCAACATCAAAAGTCGCAACCTGAAACACACAAACTATTAGGTTAAACTAGATCAGTATCACTTTTGTTCTATTTTGGCTTGGCTGACAGTTTGACATCTAAAAAGAAATATTGATCAATTTAGAGTTTAATTTTTTTGGAGCAACCATTTTGCTCTACATATTGCTTTATAGCAGTTGGCGTGTCCAAATTTTCGAATGCAATGCACAACGGAAAATGTAATTGAAGATTTCTACAACACCTTGATTTGATTTTCCTGCTCAGTTTAATGCTATTTGTGTTGCCAATGTGATCATTTAAGCTTTGATATGCATATGAATCAATTTTGTTTATTTATGCACATTAAGAATAAAATAATGATCATAGCAAATAAGGTAATGCCTAATTTAACTGAGTTGATTTATGGAAATGTTATATACGAGTTTTTGTATTTTATTAACAAATGAAAGTGGGCTTACGCATTTTTAAATGATGCACACTTTTCTGGAGGGGAAAAGTGCGATCTTTGATCAAATAAATGAAAGGAAATGCCACATTTGATTGAGCCTGCTAAAATACCATGTGATTACTATCATTACATCAATGAAATGCCAACTTTCCGCAGCTAACCAATTAACCTGTTCCATCTCCGAGTCGCATCCCCAATATATATAAGTGATTTGCAATAAGCGAAACCATTTCAGCTATGCAGCTACTTTGTGCAATCAAACGCAACAAGTGCACTTGGCTATCGAGACGGGTTCAGTCGGTTTTTAGCCATATTTGTCAACCCTCCAATTTTGCTTGGCTCTAATCCAAGAAATTTCAGCTATGCAGGTGGTGGGATTTTTAAAGTAATGCTGATTTAATTTAACACGCGCCACTTGTCCCCACAAATATTCGTTGCAACAGCTGTTGAAACTTTCACTGTGGTGGGCCAACTAGTTCATATATCACTTGCTTGGTAATTAGACCTCTAATTAAAGCCCAAATGCCAACACTTCTTGGCCCAAAAGCTGGGTGGTACCCGATTTTACTGAACCGCACCGAAACAACAATGCCCAATTATGTCATGTTGTCAACTGCCATCGGGTGAGTGAAAAATGTATATCAGCAACATAAGATGTCGGCTTACTTGATTAATATACTCTTTCAGCTGGTTTCATAATTTTGGCAAGCTTATTTCAAACTCTATAAATAGATGATTTCCATAATAAGGATCTACATATATTATGATGATACATTCTTAAAGTTCCTTTTTCCAACAACAAAATAATTTATTTTAAATCTGCAGGGTATTCTATTCTTCGCTTTTCCAAAGCCAACTTGATTTTTCGTTTAAGTTACGCACGAGCCCGTCATCATTGCACTAAGTATATCAGCAATTTCTGAGTTGGCTCTAGGCTCAGTTACAGTTACAACGTCAACAATAACAAAGGCAATAACAATGGCATGTCGCTTACCAAATGCGGCATTTTGTTGGCAATACACATCATCTAGTGCCACCCCACCTTACTCCACTTGCAACTTGCTCGTTTTAATAATCATGAAAAACATCGTCTCATGTGTTGACATTTTTCGTTTAAGACTTTTTTGGCCAAAAAGGTATCGTGTAGTTGCCAAAAAAGTTTTAAGCGAGAGGATGGGGGTAAACAATAATAATAATAACAAAATGCGTGTAATAACCGAAAAATATTCACACAGTTTACACCTAAGATACGCTTTTTTCTTTCTACTTTTCATGCTGGCTTTGTTCAAGGCATCTGCTCATGCAATTTTTTCGCTTCTTATTATTTTGTGGCTTTTGCTTTTAGCCTAGTTTTTACGGTCGTGTGAGGTAATTTAGGACTTGGCTCGGAGTCACAGCGGGTTTGCTTATTCAATGTTTTCGTTGCGATTCAATCCGCCACATTGCAGCGATTCAAATTGAAAACGTTGCTCTAATAAATTGGACTGGGACTTAAAAAATAATTAATACTTCAACAGATTCATAAAAATTGATAGTCACATTTTATAGCTTTAAAAAATGGTCAAATTTGGTGGCTGTGCCAAAACTACTTTCAAATTCGTTTAAACCGCCCAACTTCTTTTAGAATGTTTTTTAATGAGATTAAATATGGTGTTTGTGATTGGTAAACTTATGACTCTCCATAATGAATGAATTCTACTAAAATTAATTTTATTTAGTTGCGTCAGCAAAGCTCCGTATATTTAAATATTTGTAGGCCAATAATTTTATGTTTTTTATGCACAACTTAATTAATTGTAGTGTAAATTAACCAAGCGAAAAATTTCTCTTTGAGTTATTTTTAGTTTGTGCTTCTTATGCAATTTTTCTTAAAAATGTACTTCGTACGTAATTGTAACAAATGAACTTCTTTGTTTGTTAATTAGGGAGCACAACAAATGAGTTTTGAATATGCTCCGTTTGACTTTCAAATTTTGGCATTAGTAGATATGAGACAATCAAAACTTAATGACCCAAAGAAGCCAAAGCGAAATTAAAAACTCATTCTAGGCACCGGTTTTTATTTCATCAACCCGCCGCCACCGCACAATGTCAAAAGCCGAAAACGGGACCGTTCAAATATTGATTAGAGAGAGATCTATAAATCAATTAAGTTATTATCGTAGGCGTCGAACAAGGCATTGAGCTTGTTTCTGCTCTGGGAAATTTGCATTGCAGTCCGCTTAGTGTTTCTTCCGCCTGAGAAAAGGCACTTGTCTTGCATTCGGCTCCTCCGACAAGTTGATAACTATTTGGCATGGGATTGTGTAAATTTGCCAACGGCCATAAAACAATCAAATCCATTGGGTGAAAAGTGGATGAGAGACTTTGAGAGCGAGAAAATGTACAAGAAATGCAAATTTAAATGAAAATGGTAACAAGAAAGTAGGATTTGTTGGGCACTTCAATTCCAAATACTCTACTGTGATAATAAAATCAAACTTTTAAATCAAATAAAAGTTGTCAGCAAGGTTTTTGTTTTTTAGATTGGTACAACTTGAGAATATTAAAGGGAGTTTCTGTTACAGACTACGATTTAATTATTGATAATGCTGATACGTATCTTAAGACTTGTTTGTGCTACGCTTGACGTAGTGCTTTAAATTAATACGTATTTGTAGAATTCCAGGAAATGTTTTGGAATTTTACTAAAATGAATATTAATACAAGTATTTCAAGTTTTGTAAGCATCATTAGATAACGAGTGTGATTAACGAAAGAAAATTATACCCTTCGCAAGGGTAAGTGAATAACAACCAAGGCAATTCAAACGAAAGCAAATCTGTGGGCTGGAACTGCAACCTGGACAGTTTTCTGTTGGGGACTCTGAGGAAAATGTTGCAACCAACTCTCTCGGACGCCGCGTAATTGCGAAACCGCCCGGAGGACATTGGCGCTGCGGAGTTTCTTTGTGGCTGCTCAAATGAGTTTTTGCATATTGCAAATGCAAAATTTTTCCTTAATTAAATCCGATCAATCGCGGCCAATCAGGAAGCGAGTGGTGGAAGCGTGGTCGCTGGAAAAGCCAGACAACATTGAACTTGAATCGCCGGCCAAAGTGGCTGCGTAAAAGTTGTGCAACTTGTTGGCGGTGGCCAGTTTAAAGCATTAAAGACATGATTGCAACACATCTGTGTGGCCAGCTTAGCTCTTATTTTCATTTATTTTACTTCTGTTTTGTGCAGCTGTGTTGTAAATCCTGTTTTTGGTCAAGGCGCTCCAAAATAATTGGGTTAAATCGCATTTAGGGACCAAATAGTACGTGTCATGTACGGCAACTTGTTTTGATTTCTTGTGTTCCGCAGTTAAACATACTAAAGAAAACAAAATAATGAAATCCATGTTGTGTTTGTGTATTATGTTCCTCCTCTGGGTAAAAACTTTACTTTTTGCAACAATGTTTAATCCGATTTGAATAATAATTTTAGGTTTAACGTCGCCTTAGCCAACTGGTTTCTCAACGCATTCTCCGGTTCCAAAATAGGAGTAGGCTGAATCAGAATGTAACGTAAATCAGTTAATTATCTTTACGGGGCTTTCATAATGATAACTTACGCCTTTCGTTAGTGCAAATATGGTTGCGCATTTCACACTCATTGCTGAAGGTTATATAATCCTCCTGGAAGATTTGGGCACACACCGGATCGAAGACATCCGCACAGAACTTTGTGCAATTCGGCTTGCAGATTTCCTTGGTGGTTTCGATTAGCTCCGATCTTCCACTGTTTCGGCGGGCGCACTGCTCCACTTTCAGCAGACACTTGTTGTGAAACACGTGGCATCGTTCGTCGGCCATGGCCCAAACCAGCTCTTTTTCATCCGAGCATTTGTACTGCACGTTGCACCGGAAGAGGTCACCACCCTCCTGGGCTTTCGATTGGGTGCTTCCCAGGAAAATGAGCACGAATGCCAACGCCAAGGTCAAAGTCAGTTTGCTGCTTCCGTGCATCTCATTCGCTGATTAAAGTATTCAAACTAGGGGTTTCTACAAAACCGCTGGGAGTATTTATACGGTTCACCGCAGCAATCTTAACCCTGAGACTATAAAAAAGCTCTGCGATTTTTAAAATAATTTAAATGGGTTTCGAATAACTTGTAACCAGAAGTATGTTGTATCTTTACAATATATTTTAATGGATTTTTAATTTGTTCTTATATAATTTTAAATAAATTTAAAAACGCATCAGGGTGTTAATGTTTTTTGTAGTTATTCATATTGTTTAACCTTTTTTAATTACAAACAAAACGAATTGCGGTTTAAAACCAGCTTATTGTGTAGCGTAGCACAGATCACAGATATTTTTTATAGCCCCCGAGAGATCTAAGATAATTGCAAGCTCCCTGAGCTGTGAAATATTCTTGGAATTATTAACAAACGTTAGCTTTAAACTTAGCACTGCATTTTACAAATTGCCTGGGAACATTTATTATCGATTAAATAACTGCGCAGAGTCATTAATTTCTGTCCAGTTTAATATTTGTATATTTTATTCTATACTCTACCTTAGCGATAGTTGTTATAAATTATTTCATTTGGTTTATTTAAAATACATCGTTTTTAGCTGACACGTGAATTCACTGAGGTTTAGCATTCAGTAGCTTCAACGATCTCTTGAAAGTGGCTCAAATAGATCAGGCTTGCTGCAAACCACCGCCTGCTTTCTATCCGTTTGAACATCTTATTATGTCAATTATCCAATTGCTAATAAAGTCCACGTACGCCGCTGACCCGCAGCTGTGGATCAGCGATCAGTAAAATGTAAGCGGCGAAATGAGAAGCGAAACGAGAAATCGCGTTGAAATCATTTCAGAGTCATTGACACAGACAGTGTCCGCAAACGTTTGGTTTTCCTCTATTTTTTTTTTTTTGTTTTTTTTTTTTCGGCAAACATTTTACTTTTTCTTTCACGCCCCAAACTCCCCCTCTTTTGTACATTTTTTTGTCTGCCCCATGTGGAAGTGAAAAGTCTTGTTTTCCCGTGCATATACTCGTACATCCGCAGCTGGTTGGCTTTGCTGCCCCAAAGCAAATTTATGGACCTTCAAATTGTTGGTCTGCAACTATTAAGCACCGCAGAGAGTTGACAAAACTTGCGAATTATGTAAAATCCCGACTGCTGTTGGCAATTAGTGTTTTGTGGGCCGAATTTTGCTTTTCGGGTGTTAAATGAATAACTGTGATGACAGTAATTGGTTTTTGGCCATTGGGTAAACCCATTTGCTTATTTTTAGGAAGTTATTAACATAATTGCTTGGGGAGGTGTGTGGGTTTTCCTTTGGGGATGGTGAATTGTGTTTCTCACTCTTTGTCGTGTTTGTTCAGCTCGGAATATTTCGGACGAACTCTGCCCACTCCAGGTGTTTTTTACATGGATGCAGCATTCCGAACTCCGAACCATCTGCCCAATCTCCCACGAAGTCAGTGCCAGACACAAATGCCCACATTCCTTGCTCCCTCGATGGAAAAATGCATTTTGCACTTGCAAATGCCGCGCACTCGATGTGGAGCACGTTTACCTCAACTTTGCCCCATGGTTTACACTATGCAGCATTCATCATCCATCCCCGAATCCCGTATTGCGTTTCCCATTCCCCATTCCCCTCTCCCCAAGTTTTGGCGTCCAGTTTAGATATCCACTTGGCGCTGTAATGCACCGTCACCGAATGCCGTCAATGTTGACGTTCATGTCGATGGCGATAATAATTTGTATGCCATTCCATCAATACAAGGCTTTCCACAGAAAACTCTATCGTTTGGACAGTGGAACTGCCATTGTTAGGGCGTTATTAATTGATTTAAATCAATTATTTGACGGGATTGTGTTTAAATGGTCCGTGACACAAACAGATATTTATCAGGTAAATGTTGGCAAGTGACTTACAAAATGATATTTTTGAGTTCCATAACAATTTCTTTTTAATAGGATTTACAAGCAAATGAATAATGGTTTCAGGTGACGAATTTATGGTTTTAATACTTATTCTGCAGTAAATATTTTTTTTATTATACCCTTGTAAGTAACTTTTTATAGGTACTTAAATTGCAAAGCAAAAATCAAACCGTAATAAAACGGAATGTAAATTTGTTTCCACTGTGCGGATAATCCGCATTGCCCGGCGGACGTGGATGAGTAGGACTTCGATGGAAATCCGCGATGGATCCATCGCTCCGCGTACTTTCGCTACGATACACAAATATACATAAAACGCAACTTTGCGCACGTATTTGGGATTTCAGACGGTGTCGCATCAGGGTATTTAAACTTCATTTTCATATTGTCAACGGCAATTGGTGGTCAAAGCCTCGCAATGGTTGGCATTTCGTAAAGCGATGCATTTGGGGACATTGCGTTTCGAGGGGGAGTTGCAATCAAGGATTGCATAAGCTCTAATATTTTGGCAGGCTAACATGAAATAACATTTTTTTTAGTCCGACACAAACGACCTTGCTCCCGTTCAGTCACCCAATCAACAAAAAAAAAAAAAGCGAAATGGAACCGACAAACTGGTTTCAAGCGATTCTAACTAAGTATCTTAGCGGTAAGACTGGGTAATTTAAAGATCTGCACTTACCAAATGCCAACGGCAGAAGCCAACCAGTCAATCTTCCTTTGGGGATCCGCATTATTTTGAACTGATTCTCTCACTTTCAATTATTTAATTACCGTCCCGTATTCCAGTTTGGTTTATTGCTTAGTAAAGCATATTTGTTAAGCCACTGAAAGTATTTCACAGACGCCAAACAACATTTAATTAATTGGCTTGAATTTGTCAACGACAAAAAACAAAGGTTCGCATAGAAAATATTTTGAATATAGAGTTCTTAAATAGGGGCGTTGTCTTCTTATCTTATGACTGCATAAATTAGTTTAAAGCGGTGACAAAGAAAAGAATGCTTTTGCTGTGTTGAAAACATTTTTGTTTGTTTTTATTGTACTGTTATTTAAATGGTTGGGGAAACCTGTCTACGAAAGTTTTCAGAAAGACCCCAGTTAACATAAATTTCTTTGTTTAGAGTGTGCAATATTTTCAACAGCCTATGCAGATCTCATACTCATTTTATTTTCTATAATGCTCAAGCTCTTTTCTTTCACTCTGTTAAGGAATTAGGGCATCAATCTCTAAACGATTGAGAGGGTTATTTGTTTTGTTTGGGGTCACAACAAAGCTTGTTCTACTTCACTTTTCATAGGTTTCACAATTTATATTTCGCCAATTTACACCGTATGCAAATTTTTATAAGAATTAAGTTTCTGGGTTTTTGGTCAACTTTCACATGCCGAAATACTTTTGAAAAACTCTCAACGGGTTTATAATGATAACTAATAGTGACAGTTCATAATTTAAACGATTTGTCTCTGGGTTTTTTTTTTTTCGTTGGGCAAAACAAAAATGATTTTTATGATTTGTAACAAACGAACCGAAAAACGGTTTTACAAAGCGAAGCGAAGACGGTGAAGCGCGCGAATTTTTTATACACGGCGCATGCGCAACGTTCCAATTGAAACTGAATGTGGTTTGGCGGCTGCGCGTTTGTTTATTTGATCGCTGGCGCCGAACTGCTTGCATCGAATCGTTTTTGAACTGCTTTACGGATGTGGTTTCTCTTTCTTCCAGACATATCTCTCTTTTTCGAAACACATTTACTCTTTTTCTCAGCGGTTTTTTGCGACCACAAGTCGCGTGCTTGTAACCCACGATGACGGAGGGAATTTTCGAGGGGGGTTTTGGCTGATTATATTGCCTTAGGTCGGGTCTCAGCTCGGCTTTGTTTATACTATTTTTTCGGTCTTGCCTTTAACTACCGTATTCGTCTGTCTGGGGATTGTAATGAAGCTATTAACAGGCAATTACCAGGGTGACCATCTTATTACGTTTAAATTGATTTCACCCTCTGGGCTTGGCCTGGTTCTATTTGGTTTTCCTGCCATTTGGTGTTCCTTTCACCAGTCCGTCCTTTCACCTTTGCACTTTCGATAGCTTGGAAATTAACCACAAAATATGATCAGCTCATCCCACATAATTACTAGCAAAACTTTCAATTCAATTTTGGCAAACCACGCGATCTTTTGAGTGAGCAAACATTTCCCCAACGAATAAAGTTAAATCAGGGAAAATATTGAAAGCTATTTTTAATTAAATCTATTTTATATACATATTTCTTTTATGAAATACATTTAAAACCAAATATTTTTTAATATTTTAATTAATAATTTATTATTTCTTTTAATCAAAGAGTATCTAAAGTTTGTATATTAAAACACAAACAACAAATCATCTCCCACATTTCTATTAAAAAATCATGTTCATGCTGTATTTTTATATACTGGCGAACCACTCCCATTGTTCGCCTTCTGTACAATTTAATTAAAACGAAAAGTTTTAAATTACCTGGTGAAATTTATAACATTACAAGCACAGGTGTGCCCCATTGACTCGTATCCCAAGGTATGGTTCATTTTCAGAGTCCTTTCCTCGTCAGTTTTCAAGTTCAGTAAAAGTGCAGGCGAATTTGTATCAAGTTTAATTGTTGAATAAGTATAAAATATAATTCGCCTGTTCACCCATAAATATTTAATCAACCCCCATCAGGTAATCAAACGAAAGTGTATCATTAAATCGCGTGATAAATGTTTGTCTGGACGGATGTATAGCTTTTGCGATTTTAAGTTGTGGGGATTGTACCCCCATCATCCTTAAAAAAAAGAGTGTGCAAAAAAAATGTATGGTGTCATATTTTTAAAATAACTTCAAATGAATTGTGAGTCGTCAAAAATTAATTTCTTCGATTACTTTTTCTTTGTCCTTGTAATTGACCGAATGTCGACCCCCGAGGCCAGTCAAAAGGGAAACTCCGATTGTAAAAATGAAAACTCTGGGGAGTGGCCAAAAAGTGGACATTGCGGTACACGTGCCAAAATATGGTTTAGAAAGTGCCCGAAGGCACTTTGTGGACCGAAAAAAAAACACCTAGATGTCCGTGTGTGTATGGTTTTAGTTTGATATGGTCGATAAAAAAGCGATTACTAAATTCAATTTAGTCACAAAGCAAACGACAACACCTTTGTGGGATTTTCAATTATAAAGCCCAGGCCAAAGAAATATGCTAGTCAAAGTTCCATAGCTTCATTTCTATTTCCCACCAGGCCGCAAAAAGGCAAAATGCAAAGTGCCAAAGGCGTGAAAATAATCCATGAAAAGAAAAGCAGTGCGGGAAAAAAGAAGGAGGAAAAACTGCGGCGACCAGAAGGAGAAAACACACAAAAGGGGTTCGATTTTTTTTTTCAGTTAGCAAGAGCAGAAAGCGCGCTTAAATGAATTTGAATTGTGGACAAACATTGGCGACATAGAACATGGAGCGAAGGCGGCGGAGACGCGGACACGGACACGGGTTGACGTTGTCAACATTGTAGCTGCGGCTTCTGGCTAAAATGTTTGCGGCTGGTCAGAAGGAGGAGCGCTGCCATGGTGCTAGGATCCTGCTGCTGCTACCGCGCTGGTTTAAAATAGTGGCTGGCAAAAAGCCGCGAACACAAGTTGCAAAAATCACGCGCCATGAATCGCACAGAGAGCAATTGAATGGAAGTCTATTGGAGTGGGGGGAAAAAGTAGTTGGCATCGCTTCTCGTCTGACTCTGGTTTGCTTTGGCTGGATGATGGTTCTTTTGGGTCAGGGTTGTGTTTTGCTCTTGATATGTTGCTTCCGTTTTGTGGAAAAAGGGAAATGTAACTTGTCATGTTAAACATATAAACAATTCCAAAGAATTTCCTTGAAAGGTTACTCATAAATTTACATAAAAGTTGTGGTTGTTTATTTATTTTGCTTACCGAAGTATATTTTTTAAATCTTCAGTCTTCTTTATTACATAAATTAAAAAGAATTTAGAAGTATAAGTTGCAAAGAATAAAAAATAGCTACAAAAAGTATATAAAAACAGAACGAAACTTATATATTTATTAAGCTGATCTAATTAAATTCACTAAGGTGATGGTCCGGTTCTTTCCAAGGGTATTCCATCTTCGTCCACTGCGACAGTTGACCCATCTCCAGTCGCCACTTTCAGTTTATTTTGTGTTTCAATTGCAGCACTCTTTGCGCTACGGCCGCCTGGTGGTGCCAGCCAACTAACAAGTCGCCGGAATTGCCGGCAGAAATGTACATATTTTTTATTCCGGGGCAAAATCAATTGGCATTTCGAATTGCACGCCTTTGAGTGTTGCCTGCCCATTCGTTTGTGAGGGTTTGAGAGTTTTTGTTATAATTGAAAAGTGGCCGCCGACAAATTCATGGGAGATGGGAGATGGATGAAAGGTCCTTTCCTTACCAACCCACTAAATTCCACTCAGCTTGATGGCGAAGAAATCGAGGTAAACGGTTTGGCTATTTAAGTTTCGGTCACCCGGCAGTTTAGGCAAATAGAGCCATAGTCATCAGAGCCAGAGCCCCATCATAGCCATACAATTAATGCAGATGACGATGCCGAGACGAGACGAGACGAAACCTGCAAACCAGATTGAATCCATGTGGGCGTCCATTGGCGCAGGTGTTCAGGTGCTGTTGCCGTTGCAGTTGCAGTTGCAAGTGCCGTGATGCCCAGCTCCAAATAGCTGTGTGCTCAGCCAACAGCAGACTCCAAATACTTCCTTCATTAGGCTCACCCCGGAGACCATTTTCCACTCCCCATGCTACTGCCCCCTCCCCCTTTGGATTCCCCATTTGGCAGCAGCTAACCAGCCAACCGACCAAATCTGTCCCACTCTGGGCTCCATTGTGTGTTGGACGTTGTGTGCGTGTCGTTTCGGAGCGGATCATGCACTGGCCATAAAAAAATGGATATATAAGGAATTAGATTCTCTAATTTTGGGTACGTTGAGCAAAAAAAAAAAAGGCATTTTTAGAAGACCACTTTTACAGTTGCTCTTCATTAATTAATTTGGTTACCAAAATATTTATTTTTGTATAGCCTTGATTTGTTCATATATTTTTACTATCTCTTTTTCTAATTGCCTAGAAAAATTAGGCAGTTATTTTGTATAACACTTAATATTACTTGAGAATTTTGTGTTAGTGGCAAAGATAGTAATTTGTTTGTGTACTCCACCTGAAAGAAAATCTAAGAAAAAAAATTCTTTTTTTTTTCTAGTGCAACTCCAGGGCTATACTCTCACTTTGTTTGCTGCATAAATAATTTTAGAGTAAATTAATTTATTCGTTGACATGTGTCCTGCGTTTATTTGAAATTGCATTGTCATTATGCAAATGCACTTTACCCTCTCAACCCGTTTGGTGTTCGATTTAACTGCCTCTTGTTTTCTGCACTTCAGTTGAGTGACTGCGACCAGAGTTTTTCTGTTGAGTGCCATGATTTATTTGTTGATACAACCGAGTTATTTACACTTAATTTGACAATGCGTGTAATGGTTTGTTAGCCACATTTATCCACCGGACTATGGCCAACAGCATTTGTCAGCCTCTCTGATTTACTAACTCAAATCCCTTATGCAAAATTCATCATTTTAGTTCCTTGGCTGCAAGATTTGTTGCTGGTTGGGAAAATCTTAGGTCTACTTGCTCTTGCCGGCTAAGAAAGCGCCAGACATTCCTGAGTAAATATAATAAATAAGTGACCTGCAGGTGTTCTTGGTCCAATCGTAATCTTTGAATTGCATTTAGCTCAGAATTAACAGGTGTGGGATATTTTGCAAAAACTCAAAACATAACTCCAAACTCCCCAATATGGAGATTTCTGTGGGTGTTGGTCAGTTGATTGTTGTTTCTGCTGTTGCCCACTACTGACCAAATAACCGACTTTTCACGCCTTCTGGTATTACATCTATGACCAAAGCCGTGGTTACCATTCCTGCCTCTACCACTCCTCCTCATTCTCCCGTCTCCGCCACAAAACAGCCTGCAACATTCCGCAGCACCCGCAACAATATTGTGGTTGCCTCATTACAAGGGGGAAATGCTCACGCTTTTCTCTGCCAACTTCGGCAGCGGCAACATGTTGCATTTTATGAATGAAGAAAATGTAATTTTACACTTGAATTGCGTGACTCGGAGCGGTTGGTTCTCATATTTCAGAGCCCAGAGATGCCGCAATCCATCACGTAAATTGAAAAAGAGCATTGATAGGCAAATTAAGCGCTGACTGCTTTCTGGGCTGCTTGCACAATGGTACCTCATAAAGATGCACTTGGAAAACAATTTAAACAGCAAGAATTTCAAGTTGAAGCTTAAACATTTAAATATATATTTTTTGTGAAAGAAAGAAAAGAGTAACGAGTGTCTTTAGTTACTTTTGCAATAATTTTAAAATGTTTTAAATTAGTAGTTTTGTAAAGAGTGGTAGTTTTCTCTCTCTGTCAGTGCTTTTGTTGCAACATTACTGGCAGATGAACGATGCTGAGAATACCTGCTCCACCCACAACATGCGCCTCATTAGTGGGAATCCCCATTCCAAATGAGCTATCTTATCCTTTCACCAGGTGGCAACGAACATTCACTTTCAATAGCCAATGACATTCACTTGGCCGACAAGAGGCAATTGATCAGCAGCCTGATCCCCACTGAGCCGAGTTGTTGTGGCACTCATTAAATGTGTTTCCATTGCACTTTTGAGGCCGCCACCGAAAGTCATTAACAGTTATGGAACCGCACCACACCTGCCTGCAATCGGTTTTCCTCCAACGGAATCATTAGTTTGGCTAAGATCTGGTTAAGACTTTTTGTTTGACACCAGTTGGTTGGTTGCTTGCTCGTGATTTGTTCAACTGCATTTGGGATTGATTTCGGTTCGTGTCTGGGTTGCTAAAAAATATACACGAAATATATTGCGCATACGCCACCGATGCCCGTCGCCAAAGCTGTGGCAAGAATTCCGGTCGCAGTTTGTCATATTTTTCCTGTCGTTGCATTCGAAAATCACCAAGACATGCTACAATGTTCAATAGTGATGGAAACTCTAAAAAAAAGTTTATTTGCTAAGAGAATTCCATAAAATTATTCCAGAGTCCCTCTTTTTTTTTAGTTTAAGAGACACTCCTTAAATATAGACTATCGAAATTTATAAAAACAATCACATTTAAGTGAGTAATTCCTTGACCAATCCGATATTGCTTAACAAGTAAATTAAACTAATTAACCATTTAAACTTTTGTAATACAAGTTTATTACTATGATTGGTTTTATATATTTACAACGCAATCAATAATAATTACTTACAAGATGTTAAAGCAAAAGAAACTCCGAAATTAAAGTTAAGTTAATCTGAATAACTTTTATTTGGAAACCTTAAGCCCTTGATAGTTGAACTTTAAAATAGTTATGATAAATAAATGAGAGCAGTGATATTAACTATCGAACCACCTCCAGAATTCAGCTCCTTGTTTGAACTGGAATGGATTGCAAATACTCAACCACTAAATTCGGCTGCCAAGTTGTCGGCTGTGCTGGTTTGTGGCTTTAACTGGCCCGCACTTGTTGCCATTTTGTCTTGTTCCAGGCAGCTGGCTGGCTATCCGATCATCTCGTCCCGATGCGAAGGCCATCCGCTGCCGGTCTCCGCACTTCTGTCAGATGGCGATCAAAAAGTCGCGGATCAAAAAACTTGCATATTGCTGGATGATTTTAATTCCGATCCGACTGCGGCTGCGAGTGAAAGTAGTTTTTTCCCGAGGTGCATTTGGTTTGGCTGGCTTTGGATTTGGTAATAATTTTGATGCCATGGCCATGTAAGGCTCTTACAAAATATGATGGCTCTATTCTTTAAGCAAAAACAAATTTATGGCTGGCAGATGGCTTTGACGCCGCTTTTTCCCCACAAAGCTAAACAGTGAAATGATCCGGGAGAAATAGTTTGTGTGGGGTTACATCATAAGCACGACTAGTTCGAGTTTTCGGCAGCCGCTTAAGTCTTTCACACTTTCCGTTCGCGTGTAGCTTGAGTTTTCATTCGGGCCCAGAGCGACACTCATTGTTCAATTTTCCAATTGTCGGCGATAAAACACACAAAGACTTATCGGCCAAGTCAATCGTAAATGCCCCAAACAAGTAGTAGTTGCATGTGCTTGGCTCAAAGTTGGTGGTAATACGAGTAAAAGCCGAAAAGCCATCCGCTCGGACTGCCTTTCATTACAAGTAGTGCTGGATTTTAATGAGGTACAAGATTTACTTTATACTCACTGCTGTATTGTAATGCATTGTATTATTTCAATTTTAATATCGCTGAATTTCTCTCTCTTTAAACATGCCAATGTATTTTTTATTGAAACAACTCTTACTCAAGTGTGTGAAAATTAAATTTTGACATAAACTGCAAAATAAAAAAAATACATAGTTTCCTTTAAAGTACAACAATTTTACTACAAAATAAAACAAAGTTGTAAATAATGAAAACAACTTTATATATAAATATATTTATAAATAATGAAAACAACTTTATATATAAATATACCTATTTATAAATAAGTGCAATGCCTTTTGTCAGGATGGATTATTTAAATAAATAGTTGTATAGTTTCTTATATTAGAAAAGGAAATATAGATTTTACAAAATCTTAAAAATGCTAGGTACTGTAAGGAATACTTTAGGTACAAGTTGTAATATATTTCGCATCACTGGATCGCAAGTAAGCCGCTACTGCTACTTCACTTTATTTGCGATTCAATCAACGCGTTGCCATCTGTGCAACGTTCGTTCATTTGTTGGCCGAAAATGCATTGCAATCTGCATTTTCACATCGCTCATTTCGCCAGGCCTCCGCTTTGTTTGTTTAATTAACTTTTGGGCCGTGGCCATAAAAGTTTAGTTTGGCTAGATAAAAATATTTGAGCCGGGCTCAACCGGGATTTGAACCCGGGACCTCTCGCACCCAAAGCGAGAATCATACCCCCTAGACCATTGAGCCGCATGCCGGCCATCTGTGCATTTCACGACTTCAGACGCTTCTCTTTGCGTTTTTGGCCGCCTCTTTGTTTCTGCTGACGTTGATGCTGCTGCTGCTGCGGATGACGTGTTTTGGCCAACTTGTTTTGGTCTCATGTCTTGGCCTATTTTTGGCGGCTTGCATCGACTGCAAACGGAGGAAAAGTATGCCACACTTTGTGGTTTGTGCTTTGTCTTTGACTTTGCGCCTATACTTGAGCTTTGGAAAAATGCACATTTTCTCGCACAAAAGGTGTTTTAAGAACCAGGTGCCATTCAGTGAAGGAATGTTTTATTAACAATATATGAACTCATAGAAATATCACAACGAAATATTTATTTGCAAATGTATTCTATGTAAGTTTGATTTAAAAGAGTTTAAAAGAGCGATCCAATCCCCTTAGCCATTCAGTTAACATGTCAATTCGTTTGTTTTTGTTTTTCTTAAGAATACATTTTATTTAAAATACAATAAAGAAATTTTAAAATATGTACAAAACTTAAACGAGTATTTTAAAATTTCTAAACTATAAATAAGCTACGCAAAATGCAATGCATTAAAAAACACCTGTAAAAAATGAGATTACATAGTGTATTTAATTAAAAAATCTATTTATCTAAAAAATCTAGAATTTTTTTTAAGATACGTGCTTAACTTTTGTATGTGTATTGCAGGATTATATTTTGGAAAACTATTGAAACAACGTTTAAGTCTTAAGAGAGAAAAGTCTGTACAAGGCAAGGCATTTAAACAAAGTTTAAATATATGTTACTTTTAAAAAATTAGCACTTTCTTAAAATATTTTTTTGTTTAAAAAGTTTCCGTTTAATATTTTTTTTTTATGTCGCTCTTCAAATTACAAGTTTATTGAGAGCGACATGTATCAGAACTAATCTAAGAACTAATAGGCATCGGCAAACTTAGGCTAAACTGAAAGGAAGATCACTCTGAGCTCAGGTGAAGATGTCTTCGACCAGTTGTTTGGTGATGATGCGATGTGGCCGAGTGGGGTTCACCTTGGGCCGCTGGTAGAGCCGGGCGTTAATGGCATACAGCCGGGGTGAGAGATCGCAGCGCACATTGAACCACCAGTCGCAGACGAAGACCGCCTGTGAGAACTGGGTGCCATTTGGGCAGAGGAACGAGGCCTGGCGTCCATCGATGTCGCAGTAGTGCCAACCTGCAGGGAAAAGATTCATTTATTTACGGGATATCATATTTTGAAGCACCTAATTCATAACACAATGTAAGACATTTTTAGATTTGTCTTAAAAAAAGCATAACCCTGTTAATATATCAATGAATATATAATATATTAATGAAGTTATTCTTTCAGCAAGCAAATAAATATTGTTCTTGAATAACCTCTTACATTCTTCCTAACTTCGTGAAATAATTTAAGCCTAGGGATGGATAACTCACCTTGGCACCTAGTTTCCATGTCGGCAAAGAATCCGGGATACTCCTGCTCGTCACAGTAGAAATTGGTGTAGGGCACCGCCGACAAAATAGGATAGTCAACGCCGGGACGACCTGCAAATGATTTTGTTATTGCAATTAGTGAGGCGCACTTTCAGATCCAAAATAAAGCGACAAAGCGAAACCAAAACAAACTGCATGTCACGCAGTCGGCGGTTTCCAATCAATTTCACTTCATCCAACCTTACTTGAAAGAAACCTGCTGGAAAAAAGCTCTCCTACCTCCCAGAAGTGTCAACTGCAGGCGCTGCCCGGGGTCACCAAAAAACCGAATCCCCTCAACAAAAACAAAGATACAAAAAAAAAAACAAGGAAACAAAAATAAACGCGACATAAACAAATCCTCGGACCGGTTTCATTCGGTTCTCTGGCGCTAATAAATGAATTTACGAGTAGATGCACTTCTGTGCCAAATATCCACTCCGCTCGCCGGGAAATAATTTAAAATCCTGCCTTTTTTCTGGCCTGTTGCTGATGGCCCGAAATGCATTTCACTGTCTCATCTTCAGTTCCGCTGGCATGACTATCCGAAAAAAATGGTCAACAAATACTACCCTTTTTCCCCATTGTTATTTGGGATTGTGGCATATTGATGCATATCAATTGGTTTACATTTAATATTTTGAGGGTTATCGTATAAAATCTTGAATATCTTTTCAAAAATAAACTCACCTGGAATTGATTTGCCCAGCTCGAGATATTCCCTTACAGAGGGACTGAGAAAGTTCTCCGGTATCTCTGGCAGATCCTTCTCCTGGCTGCCACTTTCATCGTTTTCCAAATCCTGCTGCGGTTCTGGCTCAAAATTAACCGGTTCCGGAGCTCGAGGCCGCTTTGCCCGCTTGGAACGAACCGCTTCACGGCAATCTGCAAGCAAATAAGCACGCTAATTATTCCAAATTACCAAGCCCAAAATCTGCAAAGTTCAAGGTTTCTTTGAGGGGGAAAAACATTAAACTCTATGTACAACGCTTTGCGGCGTTGCCAATCATTGGCTTTAATGTCAAGATACATATAGTATTTGATTTGCCCGCTGCCCCGAAAACCACTCCCAGCCAACCCCGCAAATGAGTCAGTAGCATTCGAGTTAACTTTAACCTCAGATGTGTCTGACCCGCTTTTAAGATTTAATATTCGCTTGTTGCGCTCTAGGCAATTGTGCAACTATTGTTCTATTACACTGGGAATAAGTTCAAGAAATATGCTGATAATATTTCTTATGAGAAGAAAAAATACGCCTACAACATTATGTTATTATAGTACAGTAGAGAAAAAAATCTGTAGGTTTGGATAATCCTAAGATGGTTTCGTTTTATAATCTGATGATAAAGTAACAAGAACATCCTTATGATCTTTCGAACTTAGTATTATTCTTAACAATATATAATTTTTGATTAAATGTATATAAAGCAATCTTGATTTCAAGTGTAGGATGCTGAATATTTTGCCGTTGAATTTTTTTATTGCTGCTTCTGATGACAAGTTTCGTGCGGTTGCCGTTTTTGCAGCTGACCTTGCCGCTTCTTTGGCAGTGGGAAAAGATCTGGCTCCAACTGAAGAACTTTGCGGTAATTGCTCAATATAAATTTTAAGTGTTTTTGTTCTCGAGTTCTTTCAGTTTTTGCATAACTAGCTATTGGGGCTCATTAGCTTGATGTGTTCTTGTACATAAACTTGGTTTGTTAGCAGCTGTAATTCTGCTTCCTTCACTTAGCCAAAACGCTAATTAAGCGTTTGCCTTGAAAATTTCTGTAGGATATTCAATATTTAGTGGAGAACTTATGATTAAATTTAGGAAAGATGTTGTAATGGGAAATAGCGACTTGAGATTTACCAAAAAAGATTAATAAGTCGAATACTGTTCCAAGTGAACCCCTTACAATAATTTACATTTTTATGCGTCAGTTCGTGTTTTTTGTATGCACTTTTCTGATGTTGTTACAGCAACTGGAAGTAGACTAAAAAACTTGTTCTTAAATTTTATTCCACTTTTCACGCGCAATTTATTCTCATCGTTGGCAGTTGTCGCTGTCGTCGTTAGTGCGGCTGCTTTTGCCAGTTGTAAGTGACCTTAACCTTGTTCCGCAGTTGTCTGCTTCGCAGTTCTCAGTTCGTTTGCCGGCGATTTTGGTTGTATAATTGAGTTGAATGTTTGCCTGAGCCCCCGGCGATAAACTTTGCCTGGCCAATGATCTGTTATTGCATCGAACACGGGCCTTTCATCCGACATCCAACACATTCGATGGAGTGTGGGCTTTACTATAGTCGTTAAACTATCGACAAGGGAAGGCGAACCCGGTGCAGCTGTGCGGACGATAAATCACTTAAGCCATCTAGCTACAATTTTAACTGGAGCTCTCGATGAGTTGTGGCTAAGTGCTTGTAAACTTTAAGTGGTGATGTTTTAAATTGGTCATATATTAGGCGAAAACTCCCTTTTCCCACACCCAAATGTTGCAACATTGGGGTTTGGTAGCCAACCTTTTTTCGATCATATAACCCTTCTTTGCTCCCAATATGTTATTCCGAAAATTATGGGCTAAACCACCCTTTAAACCATACATCCAGTTACCTATTTCAGTTCAGTAAGAGCCTGCCATTAGTTAACCTGCTACAGGTTAGCTAATTATTTATCCCAAACAAATTAACTGCAAAACGCAGGGAACACGCCTCAGAGAGCAAAAACCAATTAGGCCAAATCCAGTCGGCCTCCCACACAAAAACCAATCGAATGCAGAAAGCATAAAATTAAAAATTAAATTATTAGTTGGTCACAAAACCGTACGTACGTACAACATACCAACAAACAAGGGAAGGCCGGGAAAATTGCAACATTATATTTCGCAAAAATGGCAACAAAATTTATTACAATTGAAATAATTACTGCGAGAAAGAAAAACAATCAAATTGTAATTAGGCGCGCGTTGAGGTGAGTCTCGCTGCTGAGAGGCCAACTGCAATTGCGGCGACAAATTGTAAAAACTGCTCGCTTATTCGCGCGTTCATGTGTCCACGTCCGAGTATAAATCTCTATATCTATATCTGTAGCCAAGTCCATTAGCCACGCATTTGTTAGGGGCCTTATGTCAAAAAGTTTTGTGCGTGTGAGAAAAAAACAGAAATTCTATTCAGTAAACCGAAGTGTCAGATACACTTAGAAATTCAGGAGTAACAAATATAATTATTCAAATATTATGTTTAAAATAAAATCTTTAATATTGTAAATTCATTTTTTTATAAAAATATATAATTTAGTATTGTTTCGGAGGTATCAAATATTGTAAAGCAACAAAAGTCTTTGATAGGCACGAAATGTTTTGGTCGAACTACAATTTATTTAGGGACTTTAATAATGTCTGTAAAAATATAGTTGGTTGTTCCCATTATTTTTGAGTAAAACTCCTTTTCTGGCCTGCAGACCAACTAATAACACGTTTGCCACACAATTTCGCGGAAAATTGCAATGCCCTCTGCAAGGGTAAAAAGTAGCCATAAAAAGATTTAATTTTTTTTTTTTTGTTTTGTTTTTGGGTGCAACGGATGGGAGTGCGTCGTCATGGGGCACACCCCTTTGCCACGTCAGGCGTTGTGTGTTGGCCAGCTAGCTAGCTGGTTGTGTCTGCGGGTTAGGTAACCCAAACTAAACCGAACCGAACGGACGTTGTAGCCACTCTCCTCCGGTGGAGCCCACTCTTCCCCACTCCTCAGTTTGCCTCCGCCACGCAAATCCCGCATCCTTCATGTGTTGCTCCATCCAATCTGATGATTTGGTTCGCTTTGGTTGGTTTGGATTTGCCTCGGTTCGGTTTGGTGGCTTGTCGTCGCCCCTGTGATTGGGTTTTGGTTTTGTTTTTGTGTGCAGTCGCATAATTAAAGTAATTGCCTTTCGTTGTGTGCGCGAAATTGAGTCGGCAGCTGTAGGAAAATTAAATAGCAAACAGAAACGCATTTCACAATTGTAATTGTCGTCGGTCGGCCTGCCGCTGAATTTGGCACCTTTTTCACAGCCAAAAATACCCAAAAACCAAACCAATCCTATCCAATCCGACTGGCTGATAAAAATTATCCACATAAATCAAATTCTGCAGCTAGACTTTTATCGGCGTAGGCACATCTCTTTTGGGCCTGTTGCTTTGTGGGCTTTGTCTTTGCCGGATGATTAGAGCCAGGGAATTGTAGGACTGCTTTTGGGCTTGGAAGTTCGCTTCGCTTGCCATAAATTAAACTGTTTTGGGGCCTTCGGTTTTATCAGTTATCCGCCCCTAAGTGGTTTTATTTATGTTTCCGAGGAGTGGAAGGTTGGCCCAAAGTTAGGGAACTCAATTCGTAAGTTGGCGGAAATTGTTTCCGCATCTCAATTATACAAATAGCTAAAAGCTCTTGTTTTCTTATTTTCCAATTAGGTTTCGATTATCTTGCAAATGGTTTTGATTTATTAATGTTTACTACTATTAATGTGTAGCATTATTAAATGAAATTATAAAATTGATTTAGTGAATCAATGATTTTAAGGTGTAACTATTAAACGATACCTGCCCAAAAGATTTAATCAAGCTCAGGGAACATGATTTCTTAATCTGTTTATATTATTGTAAATTAACCTCTTTTGTACCTTAAATAAATTGTGCGCTTACTTCATCTCAATGTCAACCGTAAAGAGTCATCAAGTCCATTAACGACTCATTCTTCTTGGACTTAATCGGTTAAAGGGTTCAAAAAGCCAGGTCAGGAAGTGCGAAGTTGAATGCGGGGCTTTGTGGAGCAACAATTACGGGCAGATAAATCATTGGTACAAACGAAAAAAAAACAGCAAAAGACGAAGTCATGGCACATCCTTCCATGTCACGGAAATCGGCCAGCGACAGAAGAAAAACAAAAAACAACATCGACAACAAGAACAACAACTGAACCGGTCACATTAACGTGGATAATTCAGTTGGCATGATGAACATCATCGGACTCGGACCCGTGGAACAAGGCTCTCCTGTCCTGACCTGTCCTTGTGTCCTGTTGTGGCGCGTAAAGCGGCGCAAAATAAATTAAGCTCATTATATAATTGAATCCTTGATAGGCTGATTATCCACACGGCTTGCCATGTGCCCGCCGCCCATATCAACCACCCGATCACCCACCACTCACCAACCACCTCTGCTGCCTGCTGCCCACTCGCTTATTAAAAGGATAATGCCCAGTCAAGCGCAAAGGATGCGAAACGGCCAAACGCAAAAATTATGTAAATGAATTTCCTGTTGCATGCGCCGCCGCAGCGGTGGTGCGATGGCCAGCGACATTTCCATAAATCTGCCAGGTGGTGCCACAGTCAAATTAACCATGGTTGGCCTTAAAAATTATTTATAAATACTGTTATTTCTCCAGATAACTGCTTTAATGGACTTTAAGTCTGGCAGATAAAATAAGTAATACTATTAACTTTATTTTGTTTTGATATGTAAACACTAGTGTTCCCCGCTTAAAATAATGCAAATAAATTTGTGAGCACATTAATAGGTTTACTTTATCATGAGATCGAAAAAACCTTTTCCATTATCCCATCATTTGTACGGATTACTGTCTCCACAATCAAGGCAACTTGCAACTTGAAAGCCCCCGAAAAAATTGTCGCGAGCTCCACCTTAAAAATTGGGGACAAAAAGCTGAAGTAAAATAATTTTTTCATGCCGCTCGATCGGCAGTTGTGCGGGGCAGTCGTATATTTTAACCGCAACCTCATGCAGTCACGATTTGTTACACACACTCACCCAACGGGATATATAAATCTAGATACATACCTATATATATATTTATACGTGTGTAGTCGCAGGCCTCCTTAATCTATTGACTAAATGCATTGCATAAAACGTCGGTTGGTCGGCCAAACCTCCAAGCGCGAACCTAAAACAATGCCACAAAAACGAACGAGTTCGGTTTGCCGGCAGTTTTCGTGCAGCAGCGCTTTCAATGGCCGCAAATAGCTCAAAGGCGCTTTGTCTAGCCAGTAAAAAGACCGCCCTCCTTCCCCTTTAGATCCCCAATATCCAATATAACCCCCTTGAAAGCCCACTCCCAGTTGCATGGTTAAATTATGAACGCAGCCAAAAAATCTATTTGCTTGGCTATGCCCAAAACTCCGAATCCCCAAACTGCAACTAGTTTCGTTTTAGGCCACAGAACTTTAAGCTAAATTCGAATTGCCGAATAAAATTTAATACGAAGTGCAGTAAGAATCGCTCTTGTTGTCTCCCGATCTTTATCTCTTGGCCATAAGACACCCACCAATTCCAGTTAACTGCTGCTTGGTTTAATGCTTTCTGCACAGAAAAAAATTGGTGATCTTTTGAAATAGAGAAAACTTTCCTACCTAATAATTGCATACAATTTTAAAATTATAATAAAAGTGGAAAATAATGTTACATTCATAAAACATTTTGAATAATTTTTTTAGGGAGTTCATTTATTTTTGTGTACCAACGTAACCGGGTCGATATTGGCTTCAGGCTAGGATTCCATGGGAGGTGGTCATGTTGCAGCGTAAATATACAAATCATTTCCAACTCCTCGATACGATTAATTTGCTAACTTCTTACATAAGTTTTTGGCTTGTTGAGCTGCTGTGTCGGCTTATTACAACTATAAATTGCATTCGGGTGTGGGCGTCTAAAGGAATTTCGCTCGAGGAAGGGTTTTATTTCTGCAAGTTATATGATCAATCTTTGCTTTAGTTCGGGTTGTCTAGCACGACGGGCTTGTAATACAAAATATTTATTTCTTCGATTTAATTCTGGCTTTTCTTTTGTGTTGCCTGACATAAATGTTACCTAGAATTTTTTTGTTGAATTTAAAAAATAAGCCAATGTAATAATTATTTCCTTTTCTCATTTCAATGGATTTAAAACCCACAACTCATGCCCAAAAGAGCGGATCATGGTTGTCTGCTACAAAATCAGTTTAATAAGCTTTTATATGTAATTATGCATTTTTCCTCGTTAATTGCATTGAAAATCCGCGAATGATTCCCACAGTTTTCCAACCTGCCGCTCACAGTTTTCCACATCCTGGGCGAAGGTGATGCAGGAGGTCGCTTTTCGTGGCCGCCTGGGCAGTTTTTCATGACGCATATCTCATAAATATAAATGACTGAATTTTTCCGCAATTTGTCGCACACAAAACAAATTTCATTTTAATTGAAAATTATGCCAGAGCATTAACATGAGCAGCGATTTAATGGATTCCGTTGGGGGATTTCGTGGATGATGTTGTAGTTTGAATTTATGAATGATTCTGAATGCATGAAAGCAATAAAATTCAGTAGAAAATGTTTCTGTGATTTTTAGAAAGATCCTAATTAAAAATAAAGGTTATATGAAAAATTTGTAACTACATATAAGTAAAAAAAAAAAAGGAAATATTTGACAAATTGTCAATCTTATAGTGAAAAACTCAATCAGATTTGAGCTTGGAATTCCAAATTTTTTTTGGCCAAACTTAACGCTTTGTAGGCCGTTGACTTGGCCAGCGGATTTGCATTTGTCAGCTGGGCGGTCCGCCGTTGTTTGTTGGCCAGATTCGATGTGTTGGCTGACAGCCGCATAAATTGTTTTCTCATGTGTGCCAAATGTTTGACTTACGCGCAAAAATGTTTGCGCAGGTAAATCTTTTGTGTGTGCACCGGATTGGGTCAAATTTTTTGTCTTGTTTTCCGCAAGAGCATTTGTATTTGTATTTGTTGCTAGCCATGCATATAAATCAATTAATTTGAACATGGAAATGCATTGCGTGCCACAATACAGCGGCCAAGTTATTTCCTCCACCTGGCAAGCTCGAAAAAAATTTGGCGGCTTTTAGCCCACACCACGAGATTTTCGGCCTGGTTAATTATTTGCACATATTGGTTAAAAAAAATTTCTATAGCTCTAGATTTTTTGTAGAAGTTCATTCTCTAGTATTGTAAACCTCATATACTTTTATTAAAATTTAAAAAAATAACTATTCCCACTTTTGCTTTTACCACCACTGTATATCAAATACTTTTATGTCGTTTCCTTTTGGCGCGTAGATATTGAAAATAATTTTTTGTTTTCCCATACACATAAATACTTATCTGCCTGTCTCTCGCAATAATTGAAAATCATTTGCATTCGAATGGCAAATGGTTGGCTAAAACATCTGACAATCTGCCCAAAGCGGATGTGCCGAACAGCAGCTGAAAGGTTATTTGCCAGTTAGTTGCATGCATTACGTATACGCCGCGTTGGCTCCAAGCGACTGATTTGTGTGGCCAACAATCTAGAGACGGATGCTTTGCTCGCTTAATGTGAGTGGGAAGCCATTCGTCGGGATGATGGGCTCCAACTCGAGGGCCTGGGGCGCATTCTTGCATCCATTTATTCGTGGAGGAGAAGCCTTCGCCATTACTGGCAACTTTCAAAATTTAGATGGTACACTTGAAGGGGTTTTAAGAAGGAATCACAATACTCCCACAGTACTGGTTGATGGTGAAGGTATTTTAAATAAATCCACAATTAAAATATGTATTATGCAAGTTTTAAAAAGCAATAATATATTTTATTATTTACATATATTCCATATATAAAAAAAACTGTGGACAAATCGAACACTCAGATATATATTTTAATTGGATGTGTTAGTTTTTTGATACGGTTGGTAATTCTATTAGTTTTCGATTTGCAATTATTCAAATTATTCTCAAGGGTAAATATTAATTGCACATAATTTAAATCATGTTTAATTAGATATATGAAGAAAAAGGAATAATAACATTAGTTTCCTAATAGTTCCCTCGCAAATCATTCTTCCTACTTGATATTCTACAGGGTACTATTTACCATTGTCAACACTTTGACATTTGTCTAGTCTCAGCCATGTTTGCGAGTGTGGGCAACCACTTTTGACATGAAAGGTTTATTAAAATCCAAGTTATAATCGAACACAATGCCAGAGAGGCTGTTAATTAGAGGCGAGCACAAATCGCACCTCGTCGAAATGGCAAATGGGTAAATAAATGAGAAGAGGCTAGACGGCAAAAGGCGGATTGGTTCGCATAGCCTTCGCTTCGGTCTCTTAATTTCGCTTTATTATTGTCTATGCATATTTTTTCTGCATTTGCCACACAAAATGTCGTGCAGCATTCGGTGTTGTGTACTCGTATTTATATTTTTTTGGGGTGCGGACTTGGGCAACCTTCAAAAGCATGCAAATGTCAAATGCCAAATATAGTAGAACTTTCCTGTCTGTGGGGAATGTCGATTGCCATGGGTTCGGGCCAGAAGTTGGAAAGTACGAGTATATTCCCAGGCGGCAACATCTTCAAATGCAATTGCCGCAATACATCGACTCATAAATAACCTGAACTTTGGTGCTGTCTGGTTAATAAAACATGCGCGTATTTCGCATGGTGTCGAGTCGCTCGAGTCGGATTTCCCAACTTGCAGGCTCTTCCCAACGCCAGCGAAAAAGTTACGCATGCGCCAAGTGGCCAAATGGATTGCCACCCGATGGCAAGACAGAGGGACTGACTGACACACCAAAAAATAAAAAGCAACTCCGTTTTGAACGCAGTTTTGGCTTGCGGTTTTGTCCGCCAGCGCTTGACACATCAAGGCAGGCGGTCGGCTTGCCACAACGCCGGCTGCATCACGCCTCCGCTTGCAACGAGGTACAGTAAAACACTGATAGAGGAAATACCAGTGACCGTAAAAACATATTTTAAAAAATTATTTTTTAAAGTTATGTGGCTAAACAGGAAATCTTTACTGACTTTGTGGCAAAGAATTATTAACTAGAGGAAATCTACAGATTGTATATATTTTTTCAAAACATATTTAATTGGTACATACAAATTTAAGACCAACTCTCAATAGTGTTTATTTTTTTTTACAAGAAGTGGTTATTAGTTTCGAATATATTTTCCTTATAGAGTTAGCACTGCACCCAAAAGAGAATACATATATGTACATCAATGTGACGGCGTTGTCGTGTAATCTGCTAGAATTTATTGCGCTTAACTGGCATTTTTTGTGCATGTAATTCGATTAACTAAATCCAAGCCAAAACAACTTGTGCCAAGCCAGCCTTGTTGCTCTGACCATAAAAAATAGTTCGTATTCTTTGAATCGTTTTGGATAATACCCTATTATTATTTCTGAAAAAAATTGATCGATCAGTTAAATATCTTTCTGAGCAATCTTGTGCTTAATCAAATACAACTCAATTTTTGCAGTTCTTATTGATTGATATGCAGGTGTTGCTAATAAAGATATTTGGGAAACTTAGCTTTGAATTTCGATTGATCAAAGTCAGAGCAAAATTATTGATTGTTGCGATAGTTTTGTTTACTCTTTATACAAAATCATATCTTATTTGTAAGGCAGTGTATTGGAAACTTCGATGAACTCGATGAAATTGGGAAAATATCCTCTCAACTTAGCATGCGAGTCACATAAATATTGTGGGAAATTTTGATTTATGGCTCGGGGGTTGTCTTCACAGCTTACCAGTAAATAATAAATATCCACAAATGATGATGAACACAAAAGTTATCCTCGGCAACATGTTGCTGCTGCTGTTGGTAAATATATTTTTTTTTTTTGTTTCTTTTTCCTTTCCTCGACTCCCACTTTAGTTTGATTTATGCCTTGTTGCTTTTTGACCTTTGCAAAATTTGTTGTTTGTTGGCTAAACACTCGCACTTACTACTTTCATGCACTTGAAACCGATCGACAAGGCAACAAAAACCGCGTGCGATTTAACGACTCGTTAGATTTCGCTTTAAGGAACAATTACGATCAATCCGTTTTTATTAGCAACCGCCGCCGCAGACAATTCGCAATTGCTGCTGCCGTTGTGTTGCACTCGTTTGTTTTTCTATTTTTTAGTTGGAAAAATGGAAAATCGAGTGCCACACCAAAACCAGAGATTGCCTCAAATTTGCATGGCCTATAAAGCAGTTAAGTCGTATGTGAGGCGGTTGCCCAAGAGGCCGCCAAAATAGCGGGCGGGTAAAAGCAGCACGTTGCACAGTTAATGTTGCTGCTGTTACTGCTTTTGTTGCTGTTGCAGTTGCAATTGCCTCAGTTTTTGCTGATCAGCTTTTTCCAGAGACAATGGAGCACACGAATATGGCACAACACAAATGTGGCCGGGGACAATAATAATAATACAACTCGTACGGTGGACACACTTCTTCTTGTTTCGCTTTTATTATTATGGTTTGTAATTTTGTTTTTGGCTATTGATCGACAAGTACAACCGTTCAAGCAGACGCTTCAACCTCAACTGACTGCAATTGTTGTTGAATTCGAATACTTGGCCGGAGTCTACCCAGAAAACCACAAGATTCACTCCACTCCACTCGAGAAGAGAGCTCAACCACTCGGATTTGAGTGAGTTTTGAGCTGGGCCTGAACTCGTTTGTCGTGCCTCCAAAAAATAGTAGATATGTTCAACTTGAGCGCGCGCACTCGGCCAGCTTACTTTTAATTGTACTAACTAGCTCGATCTGCTCTGCTCTGATCTTACGCAATTGCCAATTGGCCGATGAATCACGAAAAAGTTCGCAGTCGAGAGAGCCCCGAACCCTATTTTGGGCAACCTTCGAGTTGGAAAAACTGAGCAGAGCACAAAAGAACAAAAAGTTGCCCAGGCCGCAGCTTCTAATTAATAGTGTAATTAAGTTTTTCATTTCATATTTTGTTGTTTCGTTTGGCTAGAGCGGAAAAGCCTTTGCCGAGTGTCACTTTGTTGTTTTTGTTTCTTCGGACCTTTCATTTTTTGGAGGTTTTCTGAAGCGCTTTGTTTTTTGGCAACGGTTGATTTGGAAGCTTCACCTCACAGAGTACCAAAATTTGTTGTATCGAGCAATATTTAAATTATAGCTTCTGAATGATTTATTTGTTTTTAATAAAGCTGGCAGCAATTCCATTAAAATAGTTATGTTCAAAACGAATCAAAAGTTAACTGTTTTGCATCAGAAAATTAAATATCGTTTTAAGTACTTTTTTTGATTATGAAACCTAACACAAAATCAATTTTTTTCTAATGAATAGATTGTAATACGAAAGTACGATTTACTTAATATTTTTAAAAATAATTAAAAGTTTATTTATTTATGATGCAACCTGTTTGATCAAAAGATGTATTCTTTTTGCCAGTGATCTTGGCTAGAGCATCTTGATTGCGAAGCGTTTAGCAGATGACCTTGTGTTCCAGGTCTTTGGCTGCCACAGAATCTGTCTTCTTGACCGAGGAGCCTTCTTCTTGTGCTTCTGCTTTTGGCCTAGGCCCGCATTTAAATGCATTTAATGGAGACGCAAAGGAGCGGCTGCTGATTTATTCAGAGCCTCTGCCAAGTGCCATGCGGCGACCAGCATTCGCAATTAGCCTTGTCCAGATGGATATGCGATCGAATTGGACGCTCGATGCTGCTGGTTGGTTGCTGGATGGCTGGTCAGTCATAGCATCAGTCAGTCATTTTGGACAGCTCGGTTTGATCTCGACTGATGTCGACTGGCGGTAGTTGTAGGCGGCACCTCAAGGCCTCCCACATAAATCATAATCACATTAGCCCCCGTGTCCGGCGGATCGAGGCGTGCAGAAATCGCTGTTTGTTCGCTTCCCCCATGGTTAATTGCAAAAATAAGTACACGAAATGCGTACACAAATTATGTGTATTATATAAAACGAGAAACAATTATTAATGGCAAAAGCCAAAGAGTCGGGCCTGAACGTTACGCAGCCGACGATCTAAGCCAAGTCGAAAAGCTGGCTAACGAGGCGGCGCAAAACGCTACCAAATTGCGTGTCCGGCCAAGCGTCCGATTGTCTGTAATTGATAAACTGGCCAAAATGAACTCGACTGTCTGACTGGCAATCCGTCTGTATTGGCCTGAAGTCGGCTTATTTACCTCAAAGTTTATTAAACAGAAATTTATGTTCGCTCCAATTAAAAATTGCGTTTAATAATCACATTTGTAGTCGCTTTTTTGTTGTAACTTTAATTGCACACTAATAGTTTTAATGTTTCTACCAAGTGTTATATGAATTTAATGTAGAACTTCTCAAAGAACTGTCAAACGAAGCCGACAAGGTTATGTAATCCCCGAAGGCATATTAAATCACTGAGTTGATCAAGTTATGACAGCATTTATAGCAGAGTACATAAATTTACGGCTGATTGATTTTCGGCCAGCGAATTTACGATCGGCCACTAATCACACATCAGCCGGAGGCAAATTAAATGTTTCTTAATTATATTAATTATAATAAATTATTACATCTATGCGAAAGAGAGGTATCCTTTCTTTTAAAATTTTGTCAGCCTCGTAAAATATTTTTTTTACCGCTCATTAACTTCTTGATTATTTTAATATTTGGGCATCCGTTTTCCCAAGAGATTTTAGTGAATTTCTCGAAGGCATAAACGGTAGTTAATTTCTATGTTTCTGTGTCAGCAGGGGTGAGTAAAAAATGAATAAAATATGAAAGATAATTTTGCCTTGACCTTTGTTTATTTTGCTTTTGCCTTCCAGAATGAAAAGAACTCTTACTTTTCCATCATTTTTGTTTATCCATTCATAATGTTAATTTTTATGTATGGACTGCCCATTTGTTGTATAGGAAGTTGCTCGTTTTTCTTAATTTAAAATGGGGCTTACGGATTATTGAAAAGTGTTTTCGTTGCCATTAAAACTAATTGGCGAGGACTGAATGTGAATTTGAATCTGGGGACTGGCGACTTTTGATAGACAAGGTAAACAATGGAAATGTCTATGTCGATATTAGGCTCTCAAACTCGAACCCAAACCCTTGACAAGGTCACGTGAATTGATTTCTGATTGCCCCGAGCGGCGGGACTGGCAAAACGATCCGAGTTTCGTTTTAATGATGTGCCAGATTCGGGCTCCTACATGGTTTCATTTACACGACAACTCTTGAGATTGGATCGCTCGATGGATGCCCTTTTATGGCAGAACGGCCCGTTGGCGCGAACTTGCCTGTCATCTGCTACAAATCAGCTGTCATAAGCCCGATCCGATCCAAGTCGAGCCAGTATTTTCGGTGGGTTTTACAATCACTTTCAAAAACCCAACTAACGGCCAAACAATCTTTGATAATGATCATTGCCACTTGACGAGCGGCACAGAAGATGGATGCGATTAAGACCAATTGAAGAATCGCTGTTGCATGTTTTGTTTAGAAAGAAACAAATTGCAGTCGGGAAGGAACTAAAAAAAAATTAATAAATCGGAAGAGTCGAAAAAAAAAGGTTTAAATAACTAAATTCAGTTCGAATTGAAACAGCAAACACTTTGCAAATGTAATAATCCCAACAATACTTAATGGCAATTATAAATTAAATTTCATTTGTTAAGCCTTCACTAAAATTGGTATCAAAATATCAGTTAATGAAAACTTACCAAAAAGTCTCCTTTAATAGGAAACTAACAGCTGTGAGAAGAAGTTGCCAACGATTGCCTGCGATTGGGAAATCTTAAATTAAGATCCGAGAGGCTCGCCGTTCACCTGGAGAGAGGTGGATAGGTGAGGTCGGGTTAGGTGGCAGCTACTGGCAACACACGGAATCATTAGAATGTGCAGCGTATTAATCTGCATGGCTATCATCCACTGCTAAGCAGCGCTATTTTTATACCCTACTATAGCTTTCTGGTCGCCTGGTACTTTAAATGGCCAGAAAATTGTCCCTGAGGCATCTCCTTCACTGCGTTGCAAACTTCTGACTGAAATTATAATACCTTTGCTCTGAGAGGGTATGATAACTAATATATGTACATTTTTTTTGATACAACCCCTAACGAAATGGGTTTGCTAAAAATCAGAACTATTTCTATTTAAATCCGATTTTGAAATAACATGCCTCTGAAAGTTCATTGATTTTATATAAATAAAATATTGAATTTAACTTCATCGGCATTTGTGATGACTTGAAGGGTATACAAGCTTCGGCTCATCGAAGCTAGCTGACTTTCTTGTTTGTTTCTGCATCTCACATTCACAGGTGGTTCGAGCGGCCAAGCAAAAGCTGAGTGACTATGCCTCTGAAACGCTGGCCAGTGTTTCCAAGCGTTTTTGCCACCTGCACGGGCTGCTCCAGGTGGCCGAGCTCCAGGTCATCGAGAAGCTGCGCGAATCCAGTCTGCCGCCGCAAATGGAACTCAACGAAGCCATGGGCAAGCTGAGTGGCTACGAATCGCTAATTAAGGTGGGATAAAACTTAACAGTCGATAAACCATTCCTAATCAAATTACGGTTGTAAATAGCGCTTAAAAGAAACCCTGGAAAGTGGTTCCGAGGATAACATGGGTGTGCCAAGGGATATCGTTCTTAAATGGCTGTTAAAACTGATTGCCGAGCATATCGAAAAGATTCCCACAACTGTGCAGGTCAGCAAGATCGAGGAAAATCCCTATCGGTAAGGAATGTTACATCTTGTACAGTTCATATACTCATTTCTTTACTTTTTTAGTCTCGCCTTTGGTCGTATGTTGGATATGACCAACATATTAAAGTGCGATTTTATAGATCCCAAGATTCAGGTGCGCTTCAGGAGCGACTTTGATACAAAACTCAGCGTGTCAATTTCAACCAACGAACCTGTAACCTCTAGATCTTCAAGCAGTGGCAAGGAGAACATCCATCAACCCAACATTAAGTCTCCTCAAATGATGTTAACCCCAAATTTGAAAACTAAACCCATATCCCAGAACCAAAAGAAACGGGCCAAAAAGAATCAAACATTTCAATCCAGTCTAAGTTCGTTTGCTGCCGCCACCGAAGATTTGAATTTGGCGCAAAGCCTTTCCACTTTGGACATTACCAAACCGAATGTGTCGCCAGTGGTTAAGGCGGGAAAGGCAGCAGACTGGTTCAAGACAGATGCCTTGGTCAGGGTTCGCTCCGTCAATTCCCCCGAGGACTTCTACGTCCAAGGGATCCATGCTGCCCATCGATTGCGCGAGGAGCTGGACACATTTGCAAACTCAATGAGCGGCCGCCGATCCTCTCCGCTGGCGGTCGTGGTGGGTCAACACTACATCGCCTACCACAAGGATCAGGAACGCTACTTTCGCGCCATGGTCAGCCAGAAGTTGGCCGCTCGGGACACCTACAAGATCTTTCTGCCAGACATTGGCGTTTTCGTTGAGACTCACAGCAGCAAGTGAGTTTTTTTTTTAGATATAAGTTAATGATCTCTAAAAGTTTTTACGGGTATAGTACGTTTATGTTACTATTTAATAAATACCAGACTGTCCTGATTAACAAATCAATTTTAGGATTGAAGTAAACTTCGATAGGTTTATTCTAATCTAATGTAATATATTCGATAGTTGTGCTTAGTAGACACCAATTATAAACTGAAATCCAAATTTCTTTCAGCTTTTATGATATGCCTGAGCGTCTTGCTCACCTACCATATTCCACCGTACATTGTAGCTTAAGGGAACTGATGCCGAACCACGGCGGTTCTGAGTGGGATACTCGCGCCAGCGCTTTCCTAAAGCAGATAGTGCAGAAGTAAGTAAATTCTTGCTTCAGAGTTCCTGTAAAATTAAATGATTACCTATTCTCTGCAGCAACCCCGTGCACGTGATCGTGAAGAAAGCTCTGTCCCCTGATCTACATGAAGTGGACCTCATCACAAACAACTATAATACTGAAATCTCCGTGCGGGAGTCTTTTTTTATACTCTGGCCTGGCGCGCTCCCGCTGCGACCGAGCGTCAGCTTTAGGTCAGCAATGGCTGCAGCCCGCTCCCAGTTCGCTGCGTTTGCCCAGGATGAAGTTCCAGTTCGGCGACGTGCTCATGATCCAGATGCTGCACGTCGAGGATCCGCAGGAGTTCTATGTGATGCGCCACGACTTCGAGTCCAAGCGTTGCATGCTGCAGTCCAATCTCCAGGGAACCATGGATCGCATTAACATCAGCCAGCTGCAGAATATATTTTTGGGTCGCCTGCACCTGGGTTGCGTGCTGCAGTCAGATGGTCAGTGGAAGCGCGCCAGTATTGAGCAGATTCTTCCTGACGGTGAGTTAGCAGTTGCTTAGTAAACCATTTCGAAAATGTATGTATTTCTGTTTCGTTTTTCCTCCAGGTTACGTTTTTGTACGCCTCGTAGACGACGGTCCCAGCCAGAAGGTTTTCTGGGACCAGCTGTTTGTGCTACCGCAGAACTTCTGCGACACCGAGCTGGCCATCAAGTGCTGCCTGGCAGATGTGGAGACTCGTCCGGAATTGGGCTATGTGTGGACTCCGGAGGCCACGGCTTACTTCAAGCAGCTCACATCGAATCCCAAGCTGCACATGGAAGTGATTCGCTCCACGGGGGATGTCGTCTATGTGGCATTGACTTTCACGCGTTCCGATACGGAGATTACGAGCGTTGGAGTCCAACTGGTGGAACAGGAATACTGCACTTCAAGCGGGGAGAGCAGTAGGAAGAACAATTCAACCCATGCGCCTCGATTCACAAGCCTCGACGTGGAAACACGCAAGTTCATTGAGCAGCAGAAGGGGCAGCCAGTGGAACTGACTCCCTACCAGAAGCCGGATAAAAATGATCGCAACAAGCGTGTAAATGTCTACATTCTCTACGTCCGTCAGCCGGATGAATTCTATGTGACGCTGCCCCATTTCCAGGCGGCCATCGACCGCCTGCAGAAGTCGGTGCAGGAATCAGCGGCCGCTTTTTATCAGGACATGCAGCCCAGGACTAATTGGCAGCTGGGCGAAATGTGCTATGTGAAGGTCCAAGCCAAGTACGATTCGCAGCTGCTTTGGCATCGTGGAGTGGTGACGAAGGTCATTCCTCCTGGCAGTAGTTTCCAATCGATTCGCTACCAAGTGCAGTTGAGGGACTTGGGTGAGATGGTCGAGAATGTGAGCAGCGATTGTCTGGCCAACATTGACGAGGCCAATAAACGGATCTCGAATAGCGCCAAGCGTTGTCACCTACACGGCATTCGTTCTACAATTGATGGATGGTCCGAGGACGCCATTGATTTCTTCAAGGATCAGTTGCAGGCCTACGACGACATCTATGTGACCGGTCACGGATGTAAGGAGAACTCCCTGAGCGTGGTCCTTTGGGGATCCCACACCGTAATCAGTGGACCCTTTTCGCCCGCTCGACTCAAATATGTTAATATAAACAAAACACTCTTGTTGGCCGGCATGGCAGAGAAGGATCCAAATACCGATCAGGAAGACCAGCAGTCGATGATGGATAATGCGAGCATTCGCTCTGTAGCAACCACCAACTCCTGCGACGTAAAAGCCATTAAATCCTATATGGATAAAATTGATAAGATGACAAAGGCAAATGACATTCATACGGTTGAACCAAGCAAAGTGCAAATCGGATTTGAGCACAACGATGAAATGCCACCGTTAAAACTTCTCGAAGATCTGGGAAGGAACAAGCCGACCACTGGCCAAACAGTACCGCCTGCCGGATGGACAACGCCAAGGAAGTGCGAGAAGACCATCTTCACCGCAATCGCAACCAATGTGAGCTACGACTGCGGCGTCTACTTGACTTTGGCAAACGACAAGCCCTTTATCGAGCATATGCGCAACCTGCTGGTGAAGAACTACAAGTCTTTAATGGAGAAGCAACAGCAGCGATGCACCCTATTCACATACGAGGTGGGACAGGCAGTGGTCGTAACCTATCACATGGACAACTGCTTTTACCGAGGAATAGTGCAGCGTATGAGGAACAATCACGATGAGTACACGGTTTACTATGTGGACTATGGCAACATGGAGCAGGTAAAAGCGGATGAGATGCTGCCGTATGCTCCGTTCCCGGAACTAAATGCAATGTGCTTCCCGGTCACGATTCACGGAGTGCGCTCCAAGCGGGGAGAGTATTCTGTTAAAGAAATGGACACGGTCCACCAGAGCTTGGTCATGAAACTGAGCAGTGTGCGCATTGTGGATGCCCAAGGAGCGGGATCCAAGAAGCCACCCACCTGCCAGATTAAAGTGGGCAATGTAGACATTGCCACCATGATGATTGACTCCGAAATAGCCATATCAACCGTAACCCAGCCAAGCAAAAAGAAATTAATGTTCATGCCTCCTACAAAAGCTCTCGAGGAGTTTAAAGTCTTTGAAGAATTGGAACAGCTGGCTTCGGTGCAAGGAGATTCACCGGATGAAGAAGCCCCTCAAGTCCAGCGTAAAAATGAAAGCATGTCGTCGGTTCAGCAACCGCCGACTAAAAAAAAGTATCATGTAAACAGCAAGGAGGTTGAAGCCTTTGAGCAGGATCAGGATCAGGATTTCGATTGCCAGCAAGCCGCACAAGAAATGCACCTTAACAATAGTTTCTATTTTACCGTCAATAAAAAATACGATTCTAAAAGCTGTGCTGAAGAATCGGTGCTCGATGATTCGGAAGATGAGCGGAGCTCAAATTGCTCTGAAAACAAGATGATGAAAATAGATGACGACTGCGAGGACAGCCAGATGGAGCCGCTTAGTTTTCCGGCCGCAGATCAGTTGCGTCGCCGCATCGAACTGCGTCAAAAAGTAATTATAGCTTTCAAGTTCATTTCAAAATATGCGTAATGATTAATGTGCAATCTTTTTTTACAGGAAATGAAAGCCAACGTCAGTTTTTCGCCTTTGGAAACCTCCACTGTGAGATCGTATTACAATGCCAGTAGCAGCTTCAAGACCCTCAGTCTTCCCAATGGAGTCAAGGAGTTCCAGTGCACCGTGGAGAGTGTGCTATCGGCCACGGAGCTGCAGATCTCGCCATGTCTCTCGGAGTTCACGAAACACGACATAAACCTGGTCCAAGAGACGCGTGTCTTGATCAAGGATGCGGAACTACTGAAGAATCCCAAATTGGGCGACTTGTGTCTGGCTCGCTATTCGAAGGACAAACAGTGGTACCGGGCCATCATTAAAGAGATTCCACCGGCCACTCCTCAGGCAACCGTATTCTACATCGATTTCCATGACACCGAGAGGGTGTTCTTCAACCACCTGAAAGTGATGCCCAATCAGTTGTTCATGTTTCCACTGCGCTCGTTCCGCGTTAAATTGCACGGCGTGAAGAAGAACAAAAACTTTACAGACAAGTCAGTGCGCCAGGCATTGCAGGCAAGCCTTTGCAAATTTGCGCTCGTCTTCGCCAGGGTTCACTATCCCCTTAATTACCATTCCAAGAATAGCGAAGGCTCCGATGGCGGATCGGATCTTATCGAAGTGGAGCTGTTCGAGAACAGGCAGAAGAAGAAGCCTGTCTACCAACCCCTTTTTGAAAATTGGATGTTCCTTAAAAAAACCAAAAACTAAGGTTCAAAAAAATGATTATTTCTTAATATTTTAAAGCGCTTTGAATATGCGCACTCGTACGACTTCTTTTTATAACTTTACATAAATGGATATGTATTTCAGTATTACCACTTTTAATTTAAACTGGAAAAAATTAAATATATTTTTAAAAATTACTTTGACTAAAAATGAAATAAACCGTGTGTGTTTCTTTATACTCCATTCATTATAACTTTGTGTTTCCTCCCAATAAAAGTAAAAAAAAAGGCAATAATTGTTTTGTAATTATCAATAAATTGAATTTATTTCCTCCATAGAATGGGATTCTTTCCATTAGTTCTCATTTAAATTTGTATTGTAAGTTGTAAATATTTTAAAATGGTTTTTTTGTTTCATTTGTTTGTTTTCGTTATTATGATGCATGTATGCATGTATTGTGAAATTTCATTTATACTTAATGTTGTGTTCACTTAATGCTAGAAATTTTAACTAATTGCTGTATTAAACCATTGAAACAATCCTTTAAAATAGCCTAGAGAAGTTGCATCTACTATAAATCAAAAATATGCTACGTACATCGAAATTGTTTATCCAATATGACAGTTGTGTTCGCTTACGTTCGATTGCTGGCAGAGATTTTCCTCTTCAATTAGAAAAATACAAATTATATAACAAGTTGTTAGATGGGTGTTCGTTTTCTGTGTATGTGTCCTTCGCTTAGAATGTGCTCAAGTTTTGGAAAAAAACTCGAAAGTTTTTTTTAGACCAATTGCGGCTAACTTAAATTAACTAGTATGCCTTCCTAAGCATTAATTGATAAGTGAATAAACTTAATGCGAACTAAACTACAAAAATGAAAAGTATCGCGGCATATAGTAATTTATCGATGTATATTGCACTGAACTAGGTATGCCATTTCACTAAAAGAGCTTTTAAAACTAAAACCTAAACGGGATTAAAGCGGTTGACGCGAACTGCGGATTCGAATCGTGAGGAAGAGAATGGGGGAACACTTCACATTTAGCTACGTTCTTTAACCACATCCAAAATGTATGATTAGTAAAATGTAATTATTGTGATAATTCTTGTTTCTTGTTTGCTTATTCAACAAGGGTTGGCAATCGCATATGTAAACTAAATATATAGTTCGATAAGTAATACTAATTTGTTGTTTTGTTTTGTTTTGTTGATTTAACCACAGACACACAGTACACACAGAGAAGAGTCATGAACAACTACCTAGGTAATGATTATATTAAACTTTAGTTCAATTACGAAGCCCGATATTACGCCGAGCACCCTTTAGGCCTCCACGGTGAAGGGATCGCGCGAGTGGTGGATTTTCAGATGCTTGTTGTGATTGGTCTTCGTGGTGGAGCTCTTTCCGCAGATGGTGCAAGTGAACGGTCGCTCCCCGGTGTGCATGCGCCGGTGCTCGATCAGATAGTAGTGCCGATGGAAGGACTTGTCGCACTGGTCGCAGGTGAACTTCTTCGTACCGTGATGCTCGCGCCGATGCCTCATGTAGTTGTACTTGCGTATGAACTTGCAGCCGCAGTACTCGCACGTGTACGGCTTGATCTGCTTGTGCGCGTTGATGTGGTTCTTGAAGTCCAGCTCCCGGACGAACGCCTTCGGGCAGTACTCGCACTTGAAGGGCTTGGCCGTTCGGTTGGCGTGCACCCACGAGTGGATCTTGAGATTCCATTTGGTGGAGAAGCTCTTACTGCAGATGGCGCAGTCGTACTGCGGCTCTGTCGAGTGCGTCGCCATGTGCGCCTTGATCGACGTCTTGGCGAAGATCTGCTTGCACATCGGACACTCCATCGGTTCGGCGTAGTCGAACTTGTCGGAATGCGCCAGCCGGATGTGGCGACGCAGCGAGTTGGCGTGCACGAACCGATCGCAGCAGTACGGACAGCACTTGGGCTTCAAGTCGTGCGTCTCCTTGTGCCACAGGAAGCGCGCCTTCGACGGCAGCACCTCGCCGCAGTGGCACACGTACTCCTTCTTGCGCACCATCATCTTGGTGTGCCGCTTGCGGTGTTGCGTCAGATTCGAGTAGCGTTTGAATTTTTTACCTGTTTAAAATGGGATGAGTTAGTGCCTACTCTTTTACATATGTTAATAACAGATTGAAACTGTACTACTCACCGCATATCTTGCACTTAAGCGGCGTTTGGCCCGTGTGCATCCGCATGTGCTCGACGAGGGCGCTGCGCACCACGAACTTCTTGTCGCAGACATAGCATCCGAACTCCTTCCAGCCCAAGTGCCGCTTCAAGTGGAGCGAGAAGTTTTTCCAGCGATAGAACTTCTTGCCGCAGGTGAAGCACTCGGCTGGATGCTCGGTGAGATGGGCGTCGTATAGCTTTACGGACGGGAAGTCGGTGCGGCAGACGTAGCACAGAAATATCGACTTTTCCATGGCCTTCTGCTCCAGTTCGCTGAGGTTATTCCGTTCCTGACCGAGCTTGGACTCGTTGTAGGCGATAAGCATTCGGTACAAAGCTGCCAATTTGGCGGCCGGTGTGGTCATGGCCAGCGTTGGCAGGGTAGGCTTCTCGTCCAGCTGGCTGGGTGGTTTAATGTCGCCATCCACATCCGCGTCACCATCACCACCGATGCCCAGCAGCTCGGAGTCCTTGACATCCGACAGCAGGTCGGAATGGGCGTGCATATGCTCAACATCCTGCTTCTCCTGGCACTGCTCCTGCTTTATCTTGATAATGCCGTCCTTGGAATCCTCTTGCAAGGCATCGGTCGCCTGCATAATCATCTGCTGCTGCGGCGGCAGCATCGATGTGCTGACCTGCGGCTGAGTGCAGATGAGTCGGCGGTTCTGGCGCACATAGTTGTGCTCGCCAATCATGTGCGCATTGCGCTCTTTGAGCTTTTCGAAAATCGCATCGCAGTGTGGACACTTGTAGACCTTGCGCCGCTGCGGTTTTCGCTGGGCGAGAGCAGCCGCCTCCGCTGCTGCCTCTGCGGCAGCCCGAGATGTCGAGGCTATTGGTGGACCCGCCAGCAAAGCCGATGACGTGGAGGGGGAGGAGGTGGCCGCCATTGGAAGGCCATCTGTAAGCTGACTTTTCCGGGAGCTGGATGAAGCCTCATCATCAACCGCATTGAAATCGAAACTGAAAGAGTTTACAATTTTAGAACGGTTTATATAGATTTAAACTTAATCATAAACTTTTTTGTATATAAGTTTCCCTTTTCTTATCTACTTTAAATGCTTACCGCTTTTGCTCCCTTTGCTGGGCGCTGAGATCCTGAGCCGGGTAGTAGTCCTGCCTCCAGTCGGGGTTGTAACCCCCCAGAGAACTGGTTTCTGAAATACCGCTGCGAAATATCCCCATAAACCTGTTTACAAAGAAGGGTTTCAGTTTAATATGCAATATGCAGAATATAGAAAAGTAGTTCACAACTTACCGACTCACTCCAAGAGTTCTCGATGTCGCAGTTGCTCTCCTGCTCAGAGATTTCACCCTTGGCGGGCATCTTCTCATCGGTGCGGATGTTCAGGCCGCCCACCAAACTGCTCTCCGTGCCAGCGCCGGCGAATGAAGACGACGTGGTGGATGCGGATGCGGAGGGCAGGTTGCTGCTGCTGCTCAACTGCTCCCGCTTGCAGGTGTCCAGGTCCAGATACTTGGCATCCTCGTCCAGAGCAACGCTGCAACAATCGACGGCCGCCAGGGCGGCATTGAAATTGGTGGGCTGGTGACTGACAACATCCTGGCTTTGATTCGAGGGCGTGGCTGTTCCCGAACCCACACCTCCAGGATTCTGCGGGTCGTGATCCTGCTCCTGCTGGAACCATGACTGCAGCGACTGCGTCTTGGTCACCCGGAACATGGCATTCATCGAGTCGTGATCCAACGAGTTGCTCGACGACGAGGCCAAAGTGGCCGCATTGGTGGCATCACTAACACCGTGCTGCTGATGGTGCGGCTGCTGGTGGTGCTGCTGCCTCGAGAAGGAATTAAAGTAGGTGGCCGTCGTGGCCGTGGTCGTGGTCTGGTGGTACAGAAAGTTAAAGTCGGGCGGCTGCAGCTGGGCCTGCCCCTGGGCCGCTGAGGAGTTGTAGGAAGACGACGAGGATATCACAATCTCATCCACATCCATGTTGTTGTCCGGCAGGATGTACTCCTCGCCCGGCTTGGCCACCGTTGCCGCCTTGGAGCAGCTGCTGCTGCTGCTGCTGGCGAACACCGATCCCGCCGAAGGAAATCCAGCGCTGGCGTTCACCACGAACGTGGTGCTAGAAGCGGCCAGCGGCGGCGGCTGCTTGGAGTTGGCGAACTCCAACAGAACCCGGGCATCGTCATCGTTCACCGCCGAGTGGTGCTGGATCAGTTTGCGGCTGGTGGTCAGGTGCTTCTCCAGAATGCTGCTGCTACTGCTGCTGCTCGGCGCTGGGGTCTCCACGGTCTCGCTCTTCACCTGCACCAGATCTCTTGATATGGATGGGTTGCTGCTGCTGCTGCTGGCGGAAGTTGGGGTGTCAGTCTTTTTCGTTGTCGTCGCTGTCGCTGCTGCTGTCGCTTTTGGTTTGATGACTAATTTCTTGGGACCGCGATGCTGTGCGGGTGTGGAGAAGCGCTGCGGTATCAATCTGGTGGGCTCCACCTCGACCTTCAACTGCGGCGGCTGGGTGAGATCCTCGGGAGACGCTTCAGCATCCGGCGACGCTCCAGTCGACGACGCAGTAGCCGTGCTGGCCATGCGAATCACACTGGTGGTGCCGTGCTCCACGCTGGGCTTCTGCTCCAGCTGCTGCAGTGGCATTGGCATGTTGTCGTAGTCATCCAAGGGCTCCTCCTTCTCCACCTTCACGAGCGGTATGGGAGCCACGGCGGCAAAGGGACGACTGGTGCCGATGCGACTGGAGGCCACGATGTTGCCCATCAGATCGAGATACTCGTTCATATTGAGCGGCACATCGCTGAGCACTGTGATTCGATTCTTCTTGGACTTTGTGGTGGTCGTAGAGTTGGAATTGGAGGCGGAGTTCGAGGCGGAATTGGAATGATTGTCCGCCAGATTGGAGGAGCTAGCGAAGGCGCCAGCAGCGGTGCTCGTCGAAGGAGCTGTGGAAAGAGGAGGCGGTAGAGCGGTGGACGTGCTCGGCTGCTCCGGCTTGCGCTCTCCATCCAGCTCACTCTCGCATCCACTGCTCAAGCTCATGAACTCCTCCTCCTCGGAGACGCGCTTGGAGCTTCGCTTTGGCTTCGTCTTGCGGGCTTTTTTCGTTGTCTTGCTCATGTTACGGCTGTGGCTGTTCTCCTCGCGCTCATCGTCACCGTCCTCCTCCTCCGGCGGAGCTTCGTGGTCGACCTCCTCCTCCTCATCCTCCTCGTCCTCATCGTCGTCATGTATGTGCAGGACACTCGGCGGGGATTGGTAAATGCGCTCGATCACGGAGAACTCGCCGTCCTCCTTCTCCACACACTCGACAATATGCTTTGGCGTTTCCTGGACAATGAAGTCACCGTTTTCGCGCTCCAAGTAGTGAGCCACCGGTGACTCCGCATAGCGGAGCACCGAGGAGGAGGCGGTGGACGAAGCTGGCGAGGCGCAGGCCACAGCCGCCGCAGCATTGAGCAGTGCACCGAACGGCGAGTTCGTCTGTCGATTGACCCGCAGACCGGATGTGGAGGTCGAGGGGTTGTTGGCGGAACTGCAGCCACTGCTGACACCCGATCCGTAGGCCTGCAAGCTCGACGACTGCTGGTGGTGCTGCTGCAATCTGCCCGAGGACGATGTGGCCAGCTGCTGTGGCTGCTGCGGCGGCTGGTGGTGGGGATGCTGATGGTGCTGGTTGCTCGCCTGATGATTCGCCTGATGCTGCCCCAGATTGTGGATCGGCGCGTGCTGCTGCTGCTGCTGCTGGGCCGGCGGCGGTGGTGGGGGATTCAGGAATACCTCCGAATGCGGCTTACTGGGCTGCTTGCCAACCACAGTTGCGAGCGATGCAGTTGCAGCCGCTGCCGACGTCGGTGGTGCTAGGGTTAGGTTGTGGTGCACCGCCACGATTTGAGGCTGTGGCTGCTGCTTGTTTTGGTTGTGCTGAGATCGTATTTGACTGATGGCGGCTCCATAGGCGGGAGGTGGTTTCTGGTGCGATTGCTGCTGCTGCTGCTGCGACTGCGGTGCAGCTGTCGTCGGCGGTTGCTGCTGCTGTTGCTGTGTAAATAGCTGCAATGAAATTGGAGTTTTTAAATATGACATGTGAACATACAAAGTAAAAAGTTCCTGATTAAAATACAACATTTTTAATAAAATCTATCTTTAACTTCAAAGAATTCCAAAAACATCAAAAAATGCATGCTACGCCCAACATTTAATAGCGATAAGCAATACGTTTTTTTCCGTGACTAATAATAAACATGAAATTCACAAACAAGAAAAAACTTATTCCGCTCTTCTTTTTAAAGAGGCTAATAAATTTTAAACTTTAATTATATGGAAAACAAAGTATTTCCTTTGAATCTTGCTATTATATGATGCAATGTGAATTTTTTAGATTAGGAGCCATAAATATATGTATACATATATTTATATACATATATGTATATATTTCTATAGTATTGGCAACCTTTAACTTATTTAGATGGTGTCAAAGAAGAGTCCACCTGAGTCTACATGATTAAGTTCTCGTGATCTTAAACTCACCTGCAGCGGAGGTGGGGGCAAAGCTGTGGCGTAGCTGAACTTTAGTGCAGGCTGCTGATGCTGTTGTTGTTGCTGTTGCTGCGGGGGCTGCTGCTGTTGTTGCTGCTGCTGCTGTTGTTGCTGATGGGCAAAGTGAGCCTGCTGCTGGTGGCTGGCGAGGAAGTGCTGCTGTGGCACCTGCGGTATCACCAGCGTGGCTGCTGACGCGGTAACTCCTCGCCCAAAGCCCGTCGTCTGTGGCTGCGGCGGTTGCTGCTGCTGCTGCTGCTGGTTGAAGCGATAATCCGGAGTGACCTGCGCTGGCTGGTACAATGTGGACACGCTGCTCGTGGTGGGATGTGCGGATGTGTTGTTGGCTCGCGCCTCAGTCGTGGGCGGTACGCATTTTAGTGCTTTCATCGGTGGATTGCTCGGTTTGCTGTTGTTGCTGTTGCTGTTGCTGCTGCTGCTGCTGTTGTTGTTATTGTTGTTGTTGTGGTTTGCTGAGGGGGAGGTGGGTGTGGAGCTGCTTGCGGCGGCGGCGGTGGAGGTGGTGGCTCCATTGGAGCAGGCTGCCACGAGAGAGGAGGATAGCGGTGGCGGCGCTGCTGCTGTTGCCGCTGATATGGTTTGGCCCACAACTGGTTTGACATCGCCACCAGAAGGCGGTGATAAGACGGCTGGTTTCTCATCAACTGCCGTTGATTCACTGGCACTTCCTCCTGTCATCATGGCGGCAGCCAGAGCACTGCCCATGCTGTTGCCACCGCTTCCGACGATCGTCATCTGCACCAGCGCCCGGATCACCTGCTCCTTGGGATGGGTCTCCAGGTGATCGGAGAGATTCATGCCCGCGTGCAGGTACAAAGTGCACACGGGGCACTGAACGCTATTGTCGACCATGATGACGGCTAAAGATTGTTCTATCTGTGGCTCCTGACTGCTCCTGCTCACTGGCTGCGCTCCTGCTCTGTGGGAGCCTGGCTACTGGCTTTCTAGTGCGACGAAAGGCTGGCTTGGCTGCCCCTCAGAGTCATAAAACTACGTGTCCTCTTGGCGTGGCGTCCATCTTGCTCAATCCTCTGATTCGAAGCGTTCGAGCTGCAATGTATAAGTGAAAAGAATGTCAGTATGTCGGTGCCGCTAAAGAATGTCGGTGCCAGGCCCTGGGCTCAATCCGTGCTCCGATATCGACGCCTTCGGAAAGTCGATACCCGATACGCGAAGAATGCGCCGTCCGGCGATCCAACGGATCGTTTATCCGCGGAATGCGTGCAGCGTAATCTTCAGAAACGTGGCTCTTTTTATAAACAAATCAAACTATGCGGGATGAGGGAATTTTCAGAGAAAAAAAACCCAACTCCTACATTAGGGGATGATCGACAACCAAACTTTTAGAAACCGCACATTACTAAGCACTATGGCTTTTAAAGCGATTTTTTTAAGCAAGTGAATCAAGTGTTTCTTTGTTAAGATTTAGGGTTTTAGCTACCAATAAGTCGATAAAGGCTTTTTATCTGTAAAAAAAAAACATGTAAAAAAATTTTAAGCTTGGGAAATTTTCGAAACTAGAAACTTAGATAAAGATCGATAAATTACAAACACTCACTTTAAGGATTTTAAAGGGCTTGAAGGTTAAGAACCAAGAAGGTCTATGTAATTAGACAAAATTGTAAACCATTACGTATGCGTATTTAATTGATTACAATATCGCTATCATTACGCATAATTACTGATACATTTTAAGGATTTAACATAATTCCTGCTTGGAAGACCTATGGAAGCGAGAATAGCCCATTTATTTCCAGGTGGGAGCAGTGGAAATGGCGGATTGGAATGCCGGCCGCAGATGAGTGAGACAACTTCTGGAGCAGCTTTTTTTCTTTATTTTTTTTTTTTTTTGCTCGCAGGAAGAATCGAAAAAAGAGGCAACGACCCAGACCGCTGACGAGTTATTGGCCGTTTCTCTGTTTTTTCCCTGCCTTTTGCGATAACTTTTGCTTTTATTTATAGTCTGCAGACCAATATTGGCTGGCTCTTTTTTTTGCGGGATTTAGCCATGTGAACTTGGGCTCTGCAAGGGTTGCTCTTTGTTAAGGACGAAGGACAATGCGAGGGCTGCACATAAACACATAAACAGCGGCAAACAAATGTCTACGTCTGTTGCTATTGATTTTTCCTTTGCAAAGGTTACACACACCACGCACACACAACACCCACACTTGCACACACTCAGACAGCAGCCAAAAAAGAAGAGCACAAAGTGCGTGAGAATGCATTATAAAATATTCCAGCTGAACCTGGATTTGATTTGCAGCAAACACAACAACAACAACAGCGGCTGTGAACCTTTTTTCCAGTGTGGCTGCGTGCGGTTGTGTGTGTGCGTTAATGTCGCTGATCTTGCTTATTGTACGATTTTCTTTTTGCTGCTTATTATTCACATAATTACTGAGACACACAATTTAAAAATGCACATATTTCCGCTTTTGTTCGCCAGCCATTGCCATCGATTTCATTTTCGTCCATGGAATGACACTTCCAAAAGAGAGGACGCCAGCTAATTACCAAGTATCGATCGAGGGAGAGAGCGAAACCGAGAGAGAGAATGGGTATCCTTGGAAAGAGTGTGCACCTGCGGCCGTTGGAAGAGGAGCAGGAGTTTGGCCTTTGCTTTGCGGCTCCTGGCTCTCTTTCTTTCTCGTTCAATGACACAGAAATCTTTCCTCTCGTCTTCTGCTTTGTGCGCTCCTTCTCCAATATACAAGCGAGCTTTTTTATATGTGCGAGTACAACTGCGAGGCCATCGCTGCGTTTATCTCCCTCTGCTGCGTGTGTGTGTGCGACCGAGTGTGCGAGTGTGTGTTGGAGTGCGTGTGGCTACACACAAAGTAAAATTTTCAAGCACGTTTTTCATGCACTTAGAGCCATTTTTACACTACAGCCGCGACGAAATCGAGTTAACGCCATGTTCATATACACTTTGGTGCGCAATTGGAGCATTTTACTTTGTTTTTCACTACCAAAAACCGTTTAAATCGTTTTCACCTTGCGACAAGAAAAATTACAACACCAGGCGTTGGAGTGCTGCAAAACGTATGCGGGCTGTCGGAATTGACCAACACTATCGAGGGGGTGGCAGCAATAGCAAACTGAACATATCAGAACTGAGTGGTTGATAGCCCTGGTAAGGGAAATTTTTTGGTAGGCCTCAATCAAGGGGAAATTTAAATTTTCAGTAAAATATGTAGGTCGTCAGTAATTTGAATTCGCTTAACTACCCTTCATCTTAATATGACAACGCCAAAATCCAATTCTTATGACCCACCATATATATAAATTTAAATTTTAATATGCGAAATACTCAACATTAGCTGAAGGAAAATGTGCAGAACAGCAGCTTTTCTGATAAAATTGTAAAATTTTATCGGGAAATGTCTTAAAATAAGTGTTTTTAAAACTATATTACTGATAAATAGGAGGCATGCACTTTTTTACAATTTTAAATTCAAGAGGTTCGAAATAGTGCCCATATCGCATACATAACTTTTAAAAAAACAGCATGAGGCCTATTTATGAGTGAAGTAAATTTATGAACACATATTTTAAAACATTTACCGATAATTGGACCATTTTTTCAGAAAACCCACTTTTCTAAACATTTACCTTAGCAAATGAATCTATATTTCACCTTAAATTTTAAGAAACTAAGCTAGCAAATAAATAGCTAGTTTTTTATGTCCATAAGTCCTAGCTAACCTGGCAGTACTCTCGATTGTCTGACATATCGATACATTGTTTTCTGCTGGAATTACAAACGATAACCGGCGTTGAAATAGCCAGCAAAAAAATAAGAAAATTAATTTGTTCAACATTTTGTTCATTAAGAAGTAGTTAATAGCAGATATGGCTGACAAGGCTCAGGAGCAGAGTATCATGGACAAGTCCATGCGGTCGGTGTTCGTGGGGAACATTCCCTACGAGGCCACCGAGGAGAAGCTGAAGGAGATTTTCAGCGAGGTGGGCCCTGTGTTGTCACTGAAGTGAGTTTCTTGTGATTAAAACAAGGAATTACTGGTGATAAACAAACTTTCATTTTTGCAGACTCGTCTTTGACCGGGAAAGTGGAAAACCAAAGGGATTTGGATTCTGCGAATACAAGGATCAGGAGACCGCTTTGAGTGCTATGCGGAATCTGAATGGCTATGAAATCGGCGGAAGGACTTTACGAGTGGATAACGCTTGTACGGAAAAGTCTCGCATGGAGATGCAGCAGCTGTTGCAAGGACCACAAGTGGAGAATCCCTACGGAGAGCCCTGCGAACCGGAGGATGCACCCGAGTTGATCACTAAAACGGTGGCTTCGCTCCCGCCCGAGCAAATGTACGAACTAATGAAGCAGATGAAGCTCTGCATCGTCAGCAATCCCTCGGAGGCGCGGCAGATGCTCATGCTGAATCCTCAGCTGGCATACGCTCTACTCCAGGCGATGGTGGTCATGAGGATAGTGGATCCGCAGCAGGCGCTGGGCATGCTCTTCAAGGCCAACCAAATGCCTCCTGTTTTGGGTGGAAATCCGCATCAGGGTCCGGGCAACATGGGCATGATGGGGCAGCAGCAGCAGCAGATGCCGCAACAGCAACAGGTGCAGATGCCCCCGCAGCAGCAGCAGCAGGCTCCCCAGCAGCCGATGCCCGTTCCTGGACCTGGTTTCCCATCCAATGTCCACTCCAACGATATCGACTTGCGCATGGTGCCCGGTGGACCTATGCCGATGGATCCCAGAATGATGGCCCGTGGCATGGATCAGGATCTGCGGGGCGGACTGCCCAATCCGGTGCCTCCGCCACTGATGGATCCAAGGACTCGTGCACAGATGCCCGCCCAGCAGCAACAGGGTGTTCCGCAGGCACCCCCTGCTCCCTATCCCAGCGATCCGCGCCAGCGGCCAATGGATCCTCGATTGAGAGCCGGACCTGGTCCACAGCAGCAGCCGCCGCAGCAGGGACTCCCCCAGGCTCCGCCGCCAACGCAACAGCAACAGGCGGCCGCTCAGCAACTGCAGAGCAGGCTGGGCGCCCACGGGGTCCTGCCCTCGGATGCCTCCGACCAGGAGAAGGCCGCCCTCATCATGCAGGTGCTGCAGCTCTCCGACGAGCAGATCGCCCAGCTGCCGTCCGAGCAACGGGCCAGCATCCTTATGCTCAAGGAGCAGATCGCCAAGAGCACTCAGCGTTAGTCTCATGCATGTTTACACTACCGGTCATTCGCCATTTCGATTTTGTCTACTATATTATTTTCCTTTTGAATCAATCAATAAAAAGAACATTCTCTCAAGAAGATTATTGGTATTGGATTATTGGTGGCAGTGGTGTTCAGTGGGCCGAAACTAGAGTCTGGTATAGCTTTTGTACCGTCGTGTTGATCATCTGCCGCAGGACATCGTCCTCGGCGCAGTTGACAGCCTACAAGTAAATGCAAATGTTTACATAATTAAGATGACAATACGGTACAGTAAGAATATCTATTGTCTGACACTCACCAGTGTTTCCAGGTTGATCTCCGCTCGTTTTCCGCTAACCATTACCGGGAGCAGATCACCTTTAAACATTTTGGGCACGCAGCTGTCGCCAAAGGTGTCCTGCAGAGTCTCGATGAGGCACTCCCGGAATCGCGAGTCCTCCGACTTTGTCTGCTTCGTGGCACCTTTCAAATTCGTTCCTCCCAGTTCCGATTGCATGATGCAGGCGAGAACGGCATCTGCGTAGACATCGTTTACATGAGTCGCATGCCACTCCATGATAATGATTTTCTGCTCCACAGTTAACTCAATGCAGCCGAAGACCCGCAGCTTTTTATCCGCTTCCAATACCTCCACACAGCCTGCTCCAATGCGATCCAGCAGGAGTTCTAGAGTACTTAAAGAGCTGCCCCAGGGAATCGACTGCCGCTGGGTGACTACTGACATGCTCATGTCGGTGTATTCTATGAAAGAGTAGTTAATTTAAAGATCAACCTTTTTATAGAAAAAAATCTACTTACTGCCTAAATCAGAGGGAGCTAACAGGTGGTACTTGAAGTCACGTTTAACTAAAACGCCAGACAGTTTACTTCCCACCTCCGAATTCTTTGCAGCAAGGCTTCCCATCACTTTGGCGGTCTTTTCGCCACGGAAATACAAATCCACAGCGTGTGTGTTGCGCGGGTTGTAAAACTTTATGTCTGTGCTGGCATCTGCTTCGTATTCCCGCTGCAGGGCCAACTTGAGACGCGACATTTCATTCTGCTCCCCATGAACGAGCACCACATGCGTGGGTTTCAGCAAGCGGATAAATTCGCTGGTCTGCTGATAGTCCGTGTGGGCCGAGAAAGAAATGTAGTCCACCGACATGTTGAGCGGCAGCTTCTGGCCCGACAATGTGGTAATCTCCTCCGGCTCGGAAAGAATGGTCTTGGCCAAAGTACCCTCCACACAGTAACCGGCAATAATCACGCCGTTCTTGGGATCCGTGCACCAGCTCTCAAAGAGCTCTCGCGATAATCCTGACTGCATCATACCAGGCGAGGCCATGATCACACAAGGTCCAATGTCCTCGAAATGATCGATGCCTTTCAGGTTGGAAATGTGCCGGAAAACAAAGGGATTGTTTACTGCTATCTGCCGTCGAATGCGATCATTCATGGCATTAATGTATGTTTGATAGACAGCCATGCACTTTTTGGCCAACGAGGAGGCATAGTAGATGGGTATCTCGTGCAGATCCGGGTTCTGTGACCAGAATTCATCCAGAATAAGCAATAGTTCCTGGGCTCGACCTAAGGCAAATACTGGAATTAAGCAACGTCCGCCCTGCTGCACAATTTTCTGCACCAGCGAGGTGAATCGGTTTTCGCGATCCTCGCGTTTTTCGTGGATGTGGGTACCATAGGTGGACTCCGTGATTAGGACATCCGGCTTCATGGGCGGTACCTCTGCTGCCATTAAATGACGATCCTCTTGACGCGAAAAATCACCAGTGTAAAGTATTTTGATGCCAGCAATCTCGATCATGAACATGGCAGCTCCCAAGACATGTCCAGCATTATAAGCGCAAAACCGCACGCCCATCACGTCTCGCTCCTCGTGGAAATTGATTGTCTCGATCTTCTCCATGGATGCCTCCAGATCGGCTTCAGTATACAGCATTTGTTCGGTGGATATATTGCTGATCTTGATGTAATCCGACAACATCCAGCGATAGATGGCTTTGGTGGCATGGGTCATGAAGCAGCGGCCCTTGAAGCTGGTCTTCATCAGGAACCAAGGTAAGGCGCCACAATGATCCAGGTGGAAACTGCAAAATAGAAGCCACATCAATACAATTGATACATCAACAGGTTTTCCAAAATACCCACTGTGAAATAAACAGCAGATCAATTTCATCCGCTTCAATCAGATCCACATAGGGCAGGGCATCCATGCCAGACAATCCTGGATGGATTCCGCAGTCCAGCATGATCTTCTTGCCCTTGAACTCCAACATAATGCAGGAGCGTCCCACTTCCTGCCCAGCACCACTGAAAAGAGAGCACAATTGCCGGATTAGTTTTGCTATGCTTATCCAACATAATTCTGAGGTTTCTTACAGCGGCTTGATCTGCAGCAGATCGCTCTCCTCATCCGGCACACGTGCATCACCTGTTGCCTGCGTCATGATGCTAAAAAACAGCGCAATAAATAACTAAACAAACTTTACGAACTGCCGGCAACAAAACGCTGTGCGTGACAGTGTGACCATAGTTGAAAGCCAATAAAGGTCTTTTTACACGTAGTCGCATCAGCAGAAATGGCGCGCAACATCGATTTCTTCTTCAATAAGAATAAAAGCATAATAATCTAATAATAGCATGTTTTCATTTCGCAAGCACATTACGAATCAATCTGATTAAATTTGGAATAATAAAATAAAAAAGCCAGATCTGGCGATATAGTTCAAGATACCGTGTCAACATAGTTCAGTTCAGAAACGCGCGATCTGGTCGCACTGATTGCCACACGAAAGTCGAACAAATAAAGAAAACGTACATATTTATTTTGGACAAATGGGAGGATCCAGCTATGATGGTAATATATAAGGAAACCTGCTCAACTCAGCGATAATCAATCTTCAATCCCTATCCTATTCCATAAACAGTGCTCCGGAAGCAGGCGAGGAGCCTGGAGAACGAGATCGACCTGAAGCTGGTGGCATTCAGCAAAATCGGTGCGGGCAGCGGAGGAGGCGGAAGTGGCGGATTAGGAGGCGTAGACACATCACCGCTCTTGGGCGAACATGTCTTTGATTCGCTGTCGGAGGAGATTGAACAGATGCTCGAAAAGGTGTGATTTATGTATGGACTTAGTTATTGGGTCCTTAGGGGCTTAACCCTAAACAAATCCTTTGTTCGGTTCGCCGAAGTGGTAGCCTTATATTAAATATTCATTTATTGTAAGAATACCAGAGAGAGTTTTATATACAGAGTGAAATTTCCAATTCTATAGCTATAGTAACTCTCCATCCACTTTCCACTTTCTATTCATGTCGATATAAAACTTGCAAACCCTCAAGTCTTTTTATATCCATTGTATTCCTCTTTAATGTGGCTTGCCTCATATGTAGTCTATAGGGATCATCTATATATCACATAAACTAAAAGATAACGGCACTGATAAAAAGTCAATATTTACTGCAAACTTTGTTAAACAAACCTTATCGTAAACGATGAATCATTTGCAGAACAGCATATCATGAAGGTGAAGAATAAGTAATTAAGTTCTATTATTTCATATATTTTTTTTTCTTCCAGTTGTCCTCGCTAAACGAAAACATGTCAGACCTGCCCGCTTCGGGAGCTGCCGCCATGCACACGCTACAGCGGCATCGGGAAATCCTGCAAGGCTATCGACAGGAGTTCAACAAGATCTGCGCCAATCACACGATGCGCATCGAGCGCGAAGAGCTGCTCCGTGGCTCTGGATTGGCCACCAGTTCCGGCAGTCCCTCCATTTCGGGTCTGAGTCGCCGGGAGATGTACCTGAAGGAGAGCGGCCACCTGAGCAGCGCCAGTCACCTGGTGAACGACCAGATCAACATCGCCATCGAGACGCGAGATCATCTCCATGCCCAGCGACAGGCCTTCAAGCGGTTGCAGACCCGCTTCAACGACATCTCCAATCGATTTCCATTGATTTCCAGGTGAGAGAATTGTAAACGCAAATTTTATAGTTATTTTATTTAAAAATCAATATTTGTTGTATTTTTATAGTCTCATTCAGCGCATAAATATCAAAAAACGACGCGATTCACTGATACTGGGAGCTGTAATCGGGTTCTGTGTAATCCTGTTGCTGCTTTACGCCTTTAACTAGCGACTTGCTGTCCGGATTTGGCCAAAGATAGAGCTTGCATTCGACTTCACTACAAATAACTTTTCGTTTGTTTTCCCACGACGGTATATATGTATGATTAACTTGTGATAGCAATAAAATTTAATATATAAGATGACTCCAGCAACCCTTGTTATTAACATCAGGCAGTAATCAATAGATTTAGTCAAACATAGCTGACATCAAACCCAATAGGCAACAAAGGAAATTTATATATTTTTGAGTACTCTAATTAGCATCCAATTATTCAGGGATGGCTGAGAACCCACCAGAAGAGGCACCGCCAGCAGTTCCGGCTGAGGAGGCTCCAGCTGCACAAGAAGCTCCTCCGGAAGTCGCAGTTGCTGGAGAAGAGGCAGCTGAAGTCGTTCAGATTGAAGGCGAGAAAACAGAAGGCGAGAAAACGGAAGGCGAGCAAACAGAAGGCGAGCAGACAGAGCAAACAGTCGAAGGGGAAGGCCAAACGGAGGCTTCGGGTGAGGATGGCGATCAACCAAAGGTGGATAAGGTTGCAAAGGAAAAACCCAAGGGTCCCGTCACCGCCGAAGATCGAAAGCGCGAAAAGCTTTTTAAAAATCAAGCAATTGCTTGACAGGGATAAGGCCAACAAAGCTGAGAAGGCCGATAAAGCTGAGGCCGCAAAGGAGGTGGCTGCTCCTCCAGCAGAACCGTTAGAACCGCAGGATGAGGAGCCGCAGGATGAGAAGCCCAAGGAGGGTGAAAAGCCCAAGGAGGATGTGCAGCGGGAATCCGTCGAATCCTACCAGTCGCTGGCATCCGAAAACGAAGAGTCCGACGACGAGGAAATTAAGGCCATTCTTAATCAGAAAGTAGAACTCCCTTCACTTGCGGAAAGCCCTGCAGAGGAGGATGAGGAGTATGCGGAATCGGTTAGCAGTGGGGAAACGCCACTACCCCGATTGGGCCAGTCGGTGAAGGGCGAGTTTATTCGAGAGTTCGAAAGTCTGCCCAGCATTGCGGACATATCCCTGGACGTGGAGCCAGAGCCCGAACCCGAAACCGAGGCCGTTGCTCAGAAGACATCGCTGACCGCCCCGGACACCGGTCACTTTGTCGAAGGCGGCGGCGGCGGCGGCTCGGAAGGGTCCGGCGAAGGCGAGTCGAGTTCCGAGCGGGATGCTAGCACGGCCGCTTTAACAGTCGCTGATGGCGAGGAGCAGGAAAGCGATTCGGTGATCATGGAGGATCTGCTTGAGGAGCCGGGGGCGCAGGAGAAGACAGTTGTTATCGGCGAGGAGATGGACACCATGGCCATGTTCGCCGTGGCCGCCGAAGCGGATGTCGAAGCCACGCCGGAAGTGGAGTTGCCGGTGGAGGAGCCCTTCTGGTATCGCCTCACAGCCGATTTCCTCAACCAACTTATCTCCAGCGTGGTGGCGAACGTAGAGAACACCGACAAGAACAAGGAGCTGTTGCTGGACAAGCGCAAGATGATGGTGGGACTGCAGCGTCTGGTGGACGAATACCAACTTGAGCGCTACATGAACTCTCAGCTAAACAATGTCGTCTGTGACTACTTTCGGCGCATTCGCAAGAACAACAACTTTCAGGTGCTGCCGCCGGAGGATGCCCGGCAAGAGTATGTCCGCTTTTTGAACGCCATCAACGTGGTCGACAACCTGATGGAGCGGCAGAAGATGATCAAGATTAAGTACGGGCACAGCGCATCAAAGGCCATGCTGGAGCTCAACTCGCTGACGGTGTTGTCCTACAACGAGGAGCAGCGCCTGGAGGGATTCATGCGCAAGACTCTCATTCGACGGGACATGGATCGTCTTAAGCGCGCCCTCGAATACGATCTCCGGCGGATGCAGGACCTCCGCAACCAGGTCAGCGAGAAGCGCTACGAGCTAAATCTCAATCTTCACAATTTAGCCTTTATAGATGAGGTGAGATATTACCTTATTGGTAATATTTAATTGTATACCTATTACTGGAATATGTTTTTATTTATTTATCTTCCACAGAAAGTAATGAAGTTTGAAAGAGTCACTGACACGTTGACCATATCTCAGATGCTTTGGGCCAACGAATCTATAATACAATTGGGAAAACAATTGGAAGGTACGTTCTTTACTCATATTCAGATTTAACTTGAACAGTTATTAATTTATATATTGCTTACCAATGGCAACCAAATTATTTCCACATTTTTACTTTTAAAGCAAATTTTGCCAAATTCATAAGTAGGTAAAGCTAATTAAACAAATTTTTTCCCACAGAAAAGTGCAAAGATGTGGCGGTCATGCAGTCGAATTACAAAAAGTCGATGATCGAGGAGACCTGCATTCGGGAAAAGCGGGACATGATCGCGTATATGCTGTCCAAGGCCAAAGCTGAGTACACGGATCGGTTTATTCGGCGGAACAATCTGCGCAAGGAGTTGACCAGGCTCCAGTTGGAGCACGCCGAGCTGAAGGCCAAACGTGCCAAGCTGGAGAGCAAGGGCGGGCTACTCTTCAAGGTCGGACTGATGTACGACTATGACAAGTGCATGGCCGACATCGAAGCTCGGCGCAACAATATCAGAGCCATGAAGAAAACTTGCTTCGAACTGAGTAAACGCATTTATAATTTGGAAAACGAGAGCCGCGCTTCCAGTATTTCGGTGCGCCATTTTGATTGATACGCTGAATTTCTAATTTTCTATTTTCACTAAACACCGAAAAAAATAAAGGCTATGATGTAACTAAAAAAGCAAATTGTAAATATTTTACAATACCTTATAAGAAAAAGGATAACGATATGTTTGGGTGTAATTATCATTCTCATACGAACAAAATATAATCAAACTTCATTGAATTTCTGAGTTGTTGTAGGGACTTCCCCTTTGTTGATACCTTTTTCTCGACAATCGATATTTGTTTTGGTATTTTTCGAATTGTCGATAACAAATCAACGGCTCGATAGCCCAGCCCTGGCAAACAGCTGTTCGGCGATGTGATAATAATTTCGGTTTCTTTTTCCTAACACGTTTGATCCATAACAAAATCCTATTTTCTGAATTGGAATCGTATTGGAATCGTCTTGGTAGAGATGTCCGCGCTTCCTAACGCCGGAAATCAAGAATCGGCGCCCGCGGCGCCCAGGATGTTTGGGGATGCGGATCTGGACAGGATGGCCATGCAGTTTGTAGGCAATCTTCAGCACTACCGCGAAAACATCGTAATCCCCAAGAGCAACGGCCCGGTGAAGATCAAGACCAACGAGGAGAAGTACATCGAGTCGGCGGTGGAGAGCTGCGGCTTCAAGTGCGCCATGGCTTGTGTGATGGGTGAGTTTCTAGCTCTTGTTATTCAATCTGTACATAATTTATAAAACCTACATATGTATATGGCGAATAAAAGTAGTCTTTCCCAACCATTAACTCTATTACGTCTTAATGAACTGTTAAAGCAATTGGTTCTATTTTTAATAAGTAAAATTGTTATTAATTTTACCCATTTCTTCATCATTCAAGATATTAATTAACAAAATATCATACACAAATAAACTTGAAAATAATAATCATTTAACAAACAATCCATGTTTCCTTACAGGCTATGGCTTGGGAGCAGCCTTGGGCTTGTTCAGCGCATCAGTGAATCCCAGCATGGCCGACCCCTTTGCGAATGAGAAAAAGCAGACAGCCAGGGAGGTGTTCCGTGAAATGCGTGCGACCACCCACTCCTATGCCAAGAATTTCGCGCTGATCGGTTGTGTATTCTCCGCAGTGGAGTGCACAATCGAGAGTGTGAGTTAACCTGATTAAAAACTGTTGAAAATTGATTAACTAAACGGTTTACACCTCTCTTTTTACTCTGCAGCATCGCGGAGTTACTGACTGGAAGAATGGCACCTACGCCGGAGGCATCACCGGTGGACTGATTGGGCTGCGGGCTGGCGTTAAAGCGGGGATCATTGGAGGACTGGGATTCGCCGCCTTCTCAACGGCCATCGACTACTATATGCATTCTAGATAGGCACAGTTTTATCGGTTACCTTGTTTCGTATAAATGTTTGTTTCTAACTAACGACGCTCGTTTGTAATTGCCGCAAAGGAAACGGCTGCAGCACGACTTTTGGTGCGCGCTTGGCTCCCATTTCCGGTTGATATTTGGAGGAGTACAGCAGCTGCCAGCCATTAATATTGCCCCCATCAAAAAAGGCCCTGTGTGGCATAAACAATGTGCCACAGTCTCGCTCTCAAATTCGGCCAGTGAGCCCCCGACCGGTTTTCATTTTGGGGGAGCACTGTGTCCATTTTGTGGGAACGCGAACGGGAATCTCGATCCAGCAGCAAAATTCCAGTTTCAGTTCGATTCGAGCGGCAGGCAGGTAGAGATCGTTCGGCTGGTTCTTTCTTCGCTGTGGTTTCCGCTTTCGGTTTTCGGCCTTCGCGCGCGTTTTGTCCAAGACGGACTAGGACGAGCATCGTTCCCCAAAGCAGCTGCAAAAGTGCAACATCAGCAAACATCATCAGCAACCGCAGCCGCAGCCGCACAAACGGGTTTCATTTGCACTCGACGGGCATTTACTTTTATTGTGTGTGCGGTTGGGTCGCGTGCAGTTCACCGAATATGCAAAAAGCCTTAATCATTAAATTAAACGCAGACTAACGACTAGTAAGCACATGGAACTCTGCCACGGATGTTCTGCCTCCGAGTCCCCGTTCCCTGCGGCTTGTTTAAAGAAAACCAATTGAAGGAGAGGCGACAGAGATCAAATCTCTTGCGAGAAGATAAACAGTGGATATCGGATAACGAGTTTTGCAAAAAGAACTGACCGTTCGCTTTTGTTAGGAAGAGTAGTGGTAGATGTTAATAGTAAAGCTAAAATATGTCTTTCCCTTTTTGTGAGGAAAGGCAGAAAGATTACATAATGTGAAGGAAGCTGAGGAACATAGTATTGCATTAAAAGCGTTGGAATAATTTCATTAGCTTATTTCAGTCTGGATTAGTTTATATAGTAATATCACAAAGAAGAAAATTGTTTATATAGATTTATAGCAGTTATAGCCCGTGTCCACTGTACTTGCCTCCAATACGATCGTGAGTCACAAGTGTCTGGGCAACAGGGTCTGGCTCTGGTCGGACTGCCGCGTCCGTCTTCCCGTCCACTTGGCCCCAGTGTTTTGTTTATGCAACCAATTCCAGAGCCACAAACATTTCTTGTTTGCTTTTCTCATCGACGGCAGCTGCGAACAGCTCAATTCCCCATTCTTTGCTCTCGATTCTGGATTCTCGGCTTCTCGACTTCTCGGCGGCTGTCAAGCGAGTTCAATGATACCAAGTGACACTTGCAATTGCGATCGCATCTAATTGGCTCCTCGGCCAGTGAATCAAAAGTCAGTTTGAGAATCAGCCTACAGTTGAGTCAACAGGCAGAGTGTTCTGGTTTTTGGGCTCCAACGCCATCTGTTGCCACATCGGGAGACAATGTGCTATCTTATCTTGGAATTATCTACCCGAAGCTACGAAATACAGTCCAACATCTATAAGACGAATAATATTTTGCCAACCGTTTTGACTAGATTCCATTTGGGTCAACTAAAGAATCATTTTATATATAGCATTGAGAATTTTTGAAAGAATGGAATAAAAAAGGTACAACTTAATCCATTTTAAGAACACAGATGTCAACAAAATGAGTGTACTATAACAAAAACTTACAAGGATTATAAAGAAGTTCGGCTTATGGATGATGGACTGTATTTGTTTCGATTGTTTGAAGAGTAATTGCAGTTTAGTCAGATGGGGTTTGACTTTAGGAAATTAGCTGACGAAGAAAGTAAAAAATCTACTGTGACGACCTTGCGGAGAGGCAACTGCAGAGAAGCGAAAAGTGGAAGAAAGTGGTTGAATGGGAGAGTCCAAAAACCGTAGACCCCATTCGATGACTCAATTAGAATTCACTTTTACTTAAAAGATCGTTTCGATAAAACACCTCAGAGTGGGGAGCTTTGGAGAGCCGAGAATCCGAGAAATAGAGAGCCCCAATCGCATTGAGAATCGGAGAGAGAGAGTTTGTTTCTCTCTCCGCCGATGTCTAATCAAAACAAATAATGCCAACAGTCCACGGCGGCTTGAATCATTAATTGAGTTCTATATTCCGGAGCAAGCAGTCTGGATCGCTCAGTGCTGCGGAAAAATAATTAAAATTAATATTACAGATAATATTACAGAAAAGCGAAAAATAAAACTTGAAAAGTGCACATCAAAGAAACACAACCGGAAAAGATAAAGTTACTAACAGAAATCGAAATTGTTTAAAGCTAAATAAACAAAACACCTGAAGGAAAAACCGAATCGATACTATAATGAAGTACAAATTTCTGCTGTTGGTGAGTAAATATTTTAGCCTTTCCAAAACAGAATTCTTATCTTATCGCACATACTTTTGGGTCCGATAGTGGGATCAGAGAGTATTTTTAATAGAGCTGCTTTCCTGAAAGTGTGGGGAGACCTTTTTATGAACCACAGTGATGATTGCCTTTTTTCGGACATACAATTTAATACAGAAAAACACAGGATGTCCGAGGTCGTCATAGATCTAACTACTTAAAGACTCATTTTTGTTTAGTATAATAACATTATCCGTTTTGATTTTTCCTTCATCGATACAAAAAGGAAATGTGTTTCCAAAAATTATTATCTTTTTTTCAAGACGCACAAAGGTTCCAATACGAATACCAATAACAGTATATATATTTCAAACTATAAAGAAAATGCAGAAGCGTGGGGATCGTTGGAGAAAAATGGCCGAAATCGTGTGTTCCATATGTTTGGTTGACAAAGCCGAGGATATTGTACTAGATTTATTTATGATCAAGGTTCTTCAAGCTGAAAATATTTCTTGAAGCCCAATAATCAATCAGAAGACCATGGGGATTAAAGAAAAGAGCTATAACCATATGTTTCTACTTCAAATAGAAAGAGCCGAATCGATATGCTTAATATTGTTTTACTTGAATTCCTTATAGTGAAATATGCTGCTTTTGTTAGCTGCGTATCAAAATACAAATCGATGTAAATCAGAACATTTTATTTTTTTTGCTTAGCCAGAAAGGATTGGTTTATTATTGTAAAGAGCAGACTTTTATATGGTTGCTTACATATGTAAGCTTCTAAAACATGTGTTTTTTAATTTAAGAACTTGCTGATAACGTTTTCGACTTAGTTATTCCCTGCTCAAAATGCCTCACACACTACTCAGCTTTCAGAGCCTTCGATTGCAGAATTGCAATTAAGTAAATGGCGCCAACCTTACTGCACTTTAAAAGTACTTTCGTCTGTCTGAACACTTGTACTTACATACCTTAAATCGTGACATATGAGATAGAGCTCAAAAGCAGAAGCAGATATACAATAGCCCGTCCATGGTCAAAATAACATGGCAAAACTCTTTGGACACGTCGAATTACTCAGGTTGGTTTTCCGGGAAAGGCTTTAACCGCAGTCGGTAATCAGCAACCTCAAATGTATTCTTTTCTTTGGCATGAAATGATATACGAAGAAGTTTTCATTACCGAATTTCGGTCAATGACCAACCTTAAGTCTTATCACCAATCAAATTTCCATTAAAGAATCGAGATTTGTTTAGGACAATGAAATAAGGGTACTGGGATATTAATATTTCTTGTTCTTTTAACAAATATTATAGAGTTGATCTTAATTTTTGTATATATTTTAGCTGTTAAAATATGTTTACTAAATAAGTAGTTGAGGTTCTATTTAGAAAGAATTTTCTCAAATAAAAACATGGACTAAAAAAAGCAAATTTTTCTTTTAGCTTCTGGCGGAAACAGTATTCCTTTTGGCCAGTGGAGTTCTGGGCCAGCATGAGGACATTCCTTATCAGCCGGTGACCAATATCTGCCAAACATGTGTGTGCCTGGGCCGGACGGATAGTGACCACCACATGCACTTCAACCTGGACTGTTCGGTGAAGAATTTCGAGCACATCCTGGCCCGCTGGCCGCAGGAGTTCAGGAGTCCGGAGATTTCGGCTGGAGCCCCTTTTGAGATCGTGGTCTCCTACTCGGGCAACAGGATCAAGTTGCTCCAACAGCTGCCGGCCACAAATGCCAGCCTAACCCTCTCCTGCCGACACTGCGGATTGCAGGAGCTGCAGGCTCCCCTCTTCATGGATGTGCCGAATGTGGAGGCTCTCTTCCTCAGCTGGAATGAGTTATCCAGCGACGCCCTGAGTCCCGAGCTCTTCAGAGGTCCTTTCCGCAACACTCGCTACGAACCGATTGGCTTGCGGGATCTGGACTTGAGTCACAACCGAATAGCTCGACTGGATCGCAAGCTTTTCGAGCACACTCCAAACTTGACCAAGTTGAATTTGTCCTACAATAAACTAAGTGTCCTGGATGAAGCCACCGCAGCGGCAATTGGATCAGTGACTACCCTCCAGCGATTGGAGTTAGCTCACAATGGCTTGATGTCCTTGCCAGCGGGCCTTTTTACAAATTTAAAAAGAATTCGTATATTGGATATCTCAGGAAATGACTTCACCGTGATTCCTCCAACTCTTCTGCAGCTCGGAAAATCTTTGGTTTTACTAAGTCTGGCAGAGAATCCCTTTGCCAGCTTAAAGGGGAATAGTTTCCAGGGCTTGGTTTCTCTGAAGCGTCTAAACATTAGTGCCATGTCATCTTTGCGAAGCTTGGAAACGGGTGCCTTGCATTTGCCTGCTTTGGAGCAGCTGGAGTGCTCCAGGAATCCCAAACTAGAGCGCTTGGAGTTGGCCGATCTTCTGGTTAGTCGGAATCTAACCCAACTGGACTTATCCAGGAATGCTTTGAGCACGTTGGTTTTGAATATCACCAGTATTACCAACAACAATCCGAATATTTGGCCACGTCTTCGCCGCTTGAGCATCGCCAAAAATCCCTGGTATTGCAGTTGCGAGCTCTTCAAAGCTTTGGAGATGGCTGGAATCACGCACATCGAACGGGAGGCAGATGGAACCGAAGCCCGTTGCGAAACCCCATACCTTCTGGCTGGAACACCGCTCTCGAATTTGACAGCCGAACGGATCTGCAGCATGGTGATACCAAAGAAGTACCGAGAGGTCGATGAGGAGCCACCGCGATTCCTGCGACGTCGCTATATCATACTTACTGCCATCATAGCCAGTGTGGTCCTGGTGATCGGTCTGGTGATCGGCTTCATTGTGGCTTGTGTGCGCCGGCGGCTCAAGGGCAGCGATTACGGAGTACAACCCATTCGGTACACCAGCGTCAGGGGCAGCAACCTGTCGCAGTTCTCGCAACTGCAACCCGCCTCGGTGGCCAGTAAGTTCAACAACGTTCACGCCGGAAGCAGCAGTGGCACCACCACGGGTGCTGCCAATGCCTAGATGCGGCATTCACATCCTAATTCGGTTCCAAGTCCGAGCTAGCTGCACAAGTTTCGAGCCAAAGATGTCCACGACAGTGTTGCGATCCCAACCGAAATAGACTTCCTGTGCGTGCTATCCTGTGTATATATGTAGGTGTCCACTGTATTAAGTCCCAACAAGGAGGTATTCCTCATCCCAGTCCCCACAACTAACCCCTAGTATTTAGAGCTGCCATCGATGTTTGTATTGTACTTAAGTTCCGAACATTAGTGTGTAATGAAACATTTTTAAAATAAATTAGCGCTTGAATATATTTGAAAACGAGTGATTAATTTAAAGTTAAAGGTTTTTTAAGGTTTTACTTTTCTAAATTTTTGTGTGGGAAATTAAAAGTACAAATAACATTTTACTGGGTTATATAAACTAAGTTTCCAGGCTGTTTTACAAATGTATTTCAAAATAAAGGGCTTCCTTTTGTTTTTTAATTAAATATAAGTTGTCTACACCATTTGAAATTAATTTAGGTTTTTTTCCATGAGGGATATTTTAAATAAAAAACTCTTCTTAAATGAGTTTAACTTTCACATATACAGAATAAGTGTGGAAAAAGATTATAGTGAGGTAAGGCCTTTGGGTTTCTATATGACTTCTCAAAAACTTTTATTTTATGCTTGCAACAGTGTGGAATAAAAAAAGTCTAGTCAACACAAACAAAGGAACGATCGAAAGGCAGGATATGAGTTTTCCGGGTGAAGAGGCGTCGCTTGGCGAGCGTTTTATCTCCCCAGTTGGCTAGATAAACGATATAGCTTAAACAGATAATACCCAGAGCAGCGGAGATAGTGGGCATGTGACGAACCAACGAATGGTGAACTAGCATTCACTTTCGAGCAGCTCCTCCTCGGCGGCGGCAACAGTTGGTGGTGGTAGCTTAAACAGGTTGATGGCCTGCTTTTGGGCCAGAAATTGCCGCATCTCGGCAAAGTTATCACGCTCCTTGTGCTGTTTGCTGCGTCGCTTGAAGGCCTCCTCATTTGCTGAATCTGAATCCGAATTGGAGGAAGAATCGGAGGCAGGAGATCGTTTGGCATCCGCCAGTCGGTTGTCCTCCTGCTGCTGCTCTATGTTTTCGATTTTACCAAAGAGCTCGTCCACATTTATGCCCTTGGAGGCCAGGACTTCCCGTTCCTTCTCCAGCATCACCTGCCGAATGGGATCAATGCGATCCTTGAGCTGTTTGAGCACAGGCTTGAATTTACCCTTGGTGATGCGCTTTTCAAAGTTCAGCAGTTCCTTTTCGGGCGATGGGAACGGAGCATGCTGCTCTGCCTCGAACTGTTGCTCCTCGTTTTCATCGTACATATACGCATAAAAGTCGTCCTTCTGCTGCGGCGCATCCACATTCTGCGAGAACTCCACCCGCAGAATGCTCTCGGGGAACTCATCATCCAGTTCCTGTTTGGGTTTCGGCAACTCGCCCTCCAAGTTCAGCTGGCTGTGCAGGAACTTGTTGTAAACCAGCATCAAGCGTTGGAAATCATCACAGCAAACGGCGAGGGCATTTTCAATGCCATGCATGTTGTTGGCCACAGCCACCAGTTCTTTGGAGTTGTTCCTGTTCGCCGCTTCGGTGGCCGTCAGTTGCTGAAGGGTCACATCTAGAGCTTGGCATTCTCCGGCCACGGCCACCATGCAAGCACTGAGTTTCAGCGAGGAATGCTGCAGTACGGCAATTGGTCCGCTTCTTTGCTGCTCCGTTTTGGTGGCATTCAACTCGGCCAGTTCCATCTGCTTCCTGTTCTGCATGGCCAGCGCCAGGTTGCTGAAGTGCTGCTCCTCCTCCTGCACCAACTGCCGCACCAGGCAGTCGATCTTCACGAGGTCGTCGCTCAGCTGGGAGATCGAGGGACGAGTGGTGATGGTGAGGGCCAGCCGGAGCAGGTATTGTGACTGCACATAGGCGAAGATATTGTGGAAATCCTATGGAAAAGATTTAGTTTAGTTATTATGAATGCTTTTAGTACATATCTAGTCTTATGAAGGACATTCTCAGCTGGTTAAAAGCAATAATAATCAAATCAACTCAATGCCCATTCAATTACCGCATTCATTTCTAATCGCATTAAATTACAAACAATATCTGTTATATGTAGCTCCTATCAGTTGAGTGTGTCATTAATAATTGTTGATTGCACTATGAATAAGCAGGGAAATTTAAGAAGTTAACTTGTTTACTCAAAACAAAAACAAATATTTTAAATGAATGATTCAGTTGCATTTAATACCTTTCTAACTAGACGTTTACCATTATTTGTTCGTACCTTTATGTGTTTAGGACTGTAATCCGTGACATTGTTTTTGAAGTACTCGCACTCTCGCAGCTCCTCCATGGGTGCATAATAGGATCCGTATTTTGCCGGCAGGGGATAATCCGTCTCCAGTTTGCGGGTGGCATCGTAAAGGATCTCGGTTACCTCTTTGGCAGCCGTTATGCAATCCCAGGCACGCTCTATTTGGCGGGATCTGTAGTGGTTTACAATTAAATAAACGTATTTTACTATAATTAATTATTGCAGTTATACTCTATCAGCTCCGCCTGCTTCATGATGATGATCTCCTGAAAGTACGTCATATTCCGCCGGATACAGTTGCCAAATTCATCGATGGTTTTAACCAGTTGCTCTAACTTCCGCTCTACAATTTTGTTTCGGCAAACAAACACTGTCTTAACGGCGCACAAAGCGGCAAAGGTTCCTGTCAGCAGAATGGATGGAACCATCGTGTATCGGATTCCCCGGGGGTTATTAGGTGCTCCACGAGAGTGCTGCCCACAATCAGACAGGCGTTCCTCGTGGTTAGCAATTGCCGGCCGGGTTTCGAGGATGCCTGCAACTCCTGCAAACATTGCTCAAGTGCCTCCACATGGTCCACCAGCAGGCGCTTGGAGTACAGAATCCTCTGCAGCAGGCGATCCTGGATTACCTGGTTTGTTATGCATTAGCAATTAGTTAATGAGGGGTTTTATTTATAGCCACGCTTTTTCAACACGGCACTCACCTGTTTTTGCTTCAGGTCATCCGCCAATTTGAGTCGCCCAATTCTTTGCTATAATAGTATTAAAATAGAATATACTATGTATTTGGATTGTTATATTATTATTTTTATAACGCACCTTGAGCTCTTCCATGTTTCACCTTTTGTTGTTATGGCTTTATATTTTATTCAACACTGTGTACAACACTCTTTATTATATGGTCACATTCCGCCTGCATGCGGTGGTTGAGGGTATTCCAATGGCAAATTTGTTATTAATTTAGAACATTATGAATGTTACGATCTGATTAGTAATTATTAGTAATCTTTTATTTGCAAGTTAAAATATATAATTTTGAAACATATTATTTTTAGATTAGCCCATTGAATGTATATACCCACCTTCAAATTTAATATCGGCGCCAACTATCGATGGTAACTGTTTTACTATCGACTTTTCAAACCACCTAAACTTGCAACGCATATATTCAAACATTTAAAAAATTGTTTTAAATTTAACTAAAATATATAACTTATACAACTTGTTTGCTTTTAACATCTAACATGTTTTGCAAACGTTGAATAAGACATCTTTAATTATAGGGAGTTTATTCCCCCTGAAAAATAACTATTTAGATGAGATATTTTTTTTATAATATTTTTATTTGTAGTTTCTTAGAGTAGTTTGTGTTGTTCAAGATTACATAAAATTTGTTTACATATCTAATAGATCAATATCCCATTTACATAGAGTCAACATCATACAAAATTGTTCGCCGCGTGTTAATGACATTCTAAATTTTCACTTTCTTCTTCCAAATAATAATGTATGGGGCTGCGAACAGGGGCTAGTGGTTGGTGGATAGTGTGGTTTGTTGGTTAGGCGCGTTAGAAATTTTGCTATATGCTAGACGACAGATGTGCGACAATATAAAATAAATAACATGGGTAACTGCTCGCCGCCCTTTGCCGAATATCTGCGATGGCCACTCCTTTGGTTTTCACTTCTTCCTCTGGGAATTCTGGCGGAATGGATCTCCATCTGGATCTACATCTTGTAGGTGGCGGGCACGGAGCGCGGGTAGTCCAGGTCGTACATCTGTGCCTTGATGAAGGCCAGCTTGTTGGTCGGCTCCGGGCGAACGGTGGCCAAGCCGTTCTTGTAGGCGTACTCCACGATCTTCTCGGCAATGGCCACCGAGCAGCCGACAATCGAGTTGAGGGGCGGGTACAGGCTGCCCTTGGTCAGGTCATCCTTGGAGACCAGCTCCGCCAGACGCTCAGCGGCGACCAGGAAGACAGCCTCGGGAATGGTCAGCATGCCGGCGCACAAAACACCCAAAGCAACGCCGGGGAAAATGTACGAGTTGTTGCCCTGACCCGGATGGTAGGTCTTGTTGTTGTAGGTGACCGGGGCGAAAGGCGATCCGCTGGCGAAGATGCAGCGGCCCTTGGTGAAGGTGTACGCCTCCTCGGCGGTGCACTCCGCCTTGCTGGTCGGATTGGACAGGGCAAAGATGATCGGGGTCTCGTTGATGTCGGCCATCAGCTCGAGGATCTCCTGGTTGAAGGCTCCACCCTGGGCAGCGGCTCCGATCAGGACATTCGGACGCACCTTGCGCACCGCCTCGGCCAAGGTATCGATGGGCTCGTGCAGCTGGGCAAAGTGCAGCTTGTGCTCGGTGAGTCCGCCCTTTGGGCGATCGCGAACAATGACACCACGGCTAAAATACAAAACATTTATTATTATTTTGTTTAATTTGGCTTTAAAGCTATATTTACCTGTCCACCATCCAGATGCGGCTCTTGGCCTCCTCTTCGGAGAGACCCTCCGCCTTCATGGCCATCAGGCACAGGTTGGCAATACCCAGAGCAGCCTCTCCAGCGCCCAAGAAGAGCAGAGTATTATCGCGCAGCTGGGTCTTCTTGATCTTCAGCGAGGCCAGCAGACCAGCCACTGCAACCGAAGCGGTTCCCTGGATGTCATCGTTGAAGGTGCAGAAGTTATCCCTGTACTTGGACAGCAGCCTGAAGGCGTTGGCATTGGCAAAGTCCTCGAACTGGATCAGGCAGTTCTGGCCGAAGCGACGGACGCAGGCGTGCATGAACTCATCGATGAAATCATCGTAGAGAGATCCAGTGGCCCTGCGCTCGCGGAGACCAATGTACAGGGGATCCTCCAGCAGGGACTCGGTGTTGGTGCCCACATCCAGAGTGACGGGCAGGCACTGCGATGGCTTAATGCCCGCCAAGGCCGTGTAAAGGGAGAGCTTTCCCACGGGAATGCCCATGCCGTTGGCACCCAGATCGCCCAATCCCAGGATGCGCTCGCCGTCCGTCACCACGATCGCACGAACGTCCGATTCCGGCCAGTTCTTCAGCACATCGTAGACGTGGCCCTTGTCCTTGATCGAGATGAACATGCCCTTGGCGTTCTGGTAGATCAAGCTGTACCGCTGGCAGGCCAATCCCACGGTGGGCGTGTACACCAGCGGCATCATGTGAGCGATGTCGGTGCTCAGGAGCTTGTAGAAGAGCCGCTCGTTCCTCTCCGAAAGGCTGATCAGGTACATGTACTTGTCGAGGTCCCGGTCCAGGCGATCCAGCAGAGCGCGGCAGTGCACCACCTGCTCGTCGGCCTCGCGAACCACGTAGGGCAGCAGTCCATGGATGCCCAACTGCTGGCGCTCCTCGTGGGTGAAAGCCAAACCCTGGAAATGATAAAGATATTGAATTTAGTTTTATGAAGAAAATGAAATGCGTTTTTACAAAAAGGGAATGATCAAAGAATATAAATAATATGCTAGCACAAGTAACCATCTTTAAAAAGCGTCTAGACTTTAATCAAAGATTAGGAAACCAATATATTCTAATGTTTACCTTTCATTTGTTTGGACTTCAGTTTAAATTTCTATGTCAAATGGCCTGATCAACCAATATAGAATGATTATAAAAAATGGCAAACAAAATAAACAAAACAGGGAGGGTGGAAAAGTTTGCCTCTGCTTATCATCGCCTTGAATTCCCGAGCACGCGCCCCTATATATGGTAAGTAATCCAGACAACCCGACTGGAACTGGCCACCGAATCTGAGGCGGTTATCAGCCGACCTTCAGATCCCATTTGACTGATCTCCCGCCCAAGCACGAACCCGCTTTCAAGTTCAAAGTCAGGTTCTAGCTCCCAGACTGTGGAATCTTGTGTCTAGATTTGCTACTATTTGAAATCACAGCATTTGAGGGGAAGTGACTCAGCTTTGGCCTCGTTTCACACGCACTATTATGACTGGTTTTCGAAAGCGATTGCTTTGTAATTGCTGGGGCTATTTTCGAAATGACCAACTGGGGATTATGTTGGGGGCGTTGTCGCTAACTTTTGACTAGGTCACATCTACGATAAAAAAATACGTGCAAAATGGCATTCAAACACAAGCTACGTTGGATTATGTGGCATTATAGTAACGGATGTACCTGCTAATATGCACATTAGAGAATAATTACTCGTGCTTTGAGTAACTTAGCAAATAACAGCTGTTTTCAAATCGTGCCCACATAAAGGCTTTTCGTAATGCCAGAGTTTATTGCAATCTTCTTGGGACATTCGATTTCAACCTTGAATATATAATGCTAATATGTAAATTTTTAATAAAAGCAATCCGTCATAGTCTATCTGAAATTTCCATCCAATCAAGTTTTTTTTTTATAATTCGTCAGCTTTACACATCCCAGATTACGTTTTAATAATTTTATTCACCCTACAGCAAAATTAGAATTAGTAAATTTTTCAAATTATACCTATTAAGTCATCTTTCCCGTCACATTGAATTAAATTGCATACTTTTTTTACGGTCACGCAATTTATTTGTTACAGAAATTATTAACTATTACACCTATTCCCATTTTATATTAAATTATTTTATATAACGTTGGTTTTTTTTTTGCTGCTCTGACACACATTTTCATCTCCCCTTTAAATGAGTCAGCTTTTTGTTGAAAAGATTCCCAGTTGAGTACAACTTAATTCCATTTAAATGACAAGAGTAATTTTCTGTCTATTCACGGTGAGAGGCAATGAAAATGCCGCTTTATCTTAAAAAATAATGACTGCAAAAAAATGTTTTATTGATTTTTAAGGGGCACGTCAAACCTATATTTTTTTGCTGAGAATGCTTAGCAACGGAAATCTACTGAATAATCGAAATTAGATGCCTTAAATAACAGCAAAAATTCGAACTAAAAGTAGCTTATAACCATTTAGAGGGAAGTCTATATGTCAAGTTGCGTTTGGATTAAATTCAATAAGCTGCGAACTTGCTGTGTGGACAATAAACACTCGAGTGGTCGCCATAAACAATAATTTAGTGCCAGGCGAGCCTCGAAGTTAACCATTATCGTACTTCTACGTCATCGGTGGGCTGGTGAAATACGAAAAAATCAAGAGAACGACACCGTTGACATTGAAAGCGACGCACGACCGCCGATAAGCGTGCGAAAGTGTTTACAAACCGCCTGGCAACAAGTATTCCCCATTCTCCATTCCGCATATATATATATATACATATATACGAATACTCATTCCCCCATCAGCTGCTTCAAACATCCGAGCTTGCCTCACTCGAAAAAACCACCAATCAGTTCAACACTTGAACTTTAAATAATAGACCCGCAGGCCATGAGAAAATTGGTTTTTGGGTGTGCACTAAAATTGGATTTGTTATGTAAATTAGTAATTAACATAAGCAAAATCTTTGACTTTGCCTAACCAAAATTCTAAATTAGTTCTCCCTTAAATTTCAAGTTTATCAACTTTAAAATGATGTTAATTTAACCGCAGCTGTTAATTGAATCCATGCGTATACGTAATGGGTAACTCCAATATTACGCATACGCATTTCGTATGAAATCGCAAAAAGTAAAAAAATCCAAAATAGTCAAAAAGGGGGCAGCAACCGAAACGAAACAAAACACAAATTAGCGCGCGCTCAGCTGACTTTTTTTGCACTGTCTGGCGCGACCAGTTCGATCATCATGATCGCAATCGGGATCATCATTATACATACTTAAGGCTAATCATTAAGTCCGCTATCAATGGCAGTCTGTCTCTGAACTTTGAATACGGCTCGGATGACGAAAGCGGCGCTTTAATCACCTCGAGTCGAGTCAGACACATCAGGCAATCTCAGGCAAATTGTTTCCTCTTCAAAGGTGAGATGATGAAAAGGCTTTTGTTTCCCAGCAGGTTACACTTTCGTCTTTTGTGGGTCAGACTATGAGAAATGGTGGGGGGAGGTCTCTTAAGAATAATTAAGCCTTGGCGGATGCTCAGGATACGGATGAGCATCATCATGATTGCGACTTGAACAAAATGAGTCACATCGGAAAAAACCAGGAGTGTAATTCAAAATAATAACTGATTTAAAATTTATTTTCATATGTAGCAAAATAATTACTTAACCATTAGGCAATATCAAAATATCCATTTGCTTGCAAAACAGTTCTTAATTTCCTGTCTGCCCAGACTTGAATCGATGAATAGTTCCCCATTTCTCCTAACAATCAATTATTTAAAGCATTTCGCATATATTATTCTTTCGTTGCTTGCCCAATATAAACAACCAATACCAATAAGTCACTATGTAAACAATGAAATAATCCAACTATTTCAACAAGCTTCGAACTCTCTGCTCTTTCAGCACATTGACCGCTTGAATTTGTTTAAATTTTTAATTTCCTCAGACCAGCAATAAATAACAACAAAGAGCGAACAAAGCAGGGGACAAACACTTCGTATAAATGCAAATAATTCTCTATCCGCTAACTGTATTTAGTGTGGGCAAACAGACAGATAAATGTATAATGTATATAGACGGCCGATACCGAGCGTTGCGGATTATCGTCATTCAGTTCGGTGTTTTGTCGTTCGAAACAAAGTTAAATTTATGACTGAATGTAGGTCAGTTTTTTCTGGTTGGTTTTGCTTTTGCGGTTTTTGCTTGTACGAGTATTTGAGTTTAAAAAGAGATAAGAACTACAAAACTTTCCATGGGGAACCATAAGAAAATCAAAACAAACTTCAGCTGTTCGGCGAAGGAGATTGAGATAAACAAATGTCACTTACTGAGAACGTGTAAGAAGTAATAACAAACTGTAGTTCTCAAGTGTCAGCTTCCTGATAAGAAAACTTCTCGAGATAATTTCTGGTTAAATTACCAATTTTCGGCCTTGCGAATTTCATGCGATTGTGGTCTGACGTATGTAAGTCGAATACGTTTATATTATTCTTGTTATGGAGAACTTTTTTGGAGAGTCTCTTCATTATTCTTAGTAGAGCTTCTGTTTACGTTAAGGGATTTTCCGCCTTTTAACTTGTTTGTTCTGCATGACACTGAGAAAAATAGTCGTCTATACTTTCATGCACATATAAAATTTTAAGTTTAAATGAACTTAGGAATATACAGCGCACCACTTTTAATTTTTTTAATATTTTATATATTTTAACAGGATGATTAGTAAAATTAGTTAAATCATAAATATTCTGTTTCACTGTGCATCTCATTAAAAAAAGAATCCACTCAAAGCCCATGCGCCTTCTCTCTTTCAATTGCTCTCCAATATTTTCTGAAGCAACTCGTGCATTAGCTCATTCATGTCTCTGTGGGAAAATAGCGTAAAAGCAAATGCAAGCGATACAAAAAGTGCACAAGCATTGAACTTGAAATTGCAATCCGAGATAAATTTGTAAACAAATTTTGCACGACTGTTTGGTTATAACTATTTCATACCCTACTGTTTCAGTATTTGATGGACATCTAATTGGCTCAATTATAAAAGCTGGCTATCGATTTTTTCGCCTTTGACAGCCGCCATAAAACAAATAAAAAAAGCCGAAAACACAAAAAAACCAAAAACAATGAGCTTTGGTCTTCCAGAGTGGCGCGTGTACTATTTGCCTTCTCTTTCGCTCTCTATGTCATCTAAAGGTCACCCACACTACTTGCCGAAAAATGAAGCCACTGCCAAAAGTATATTTTTTTGCTTTGATATTGTCAGCTGACGTTTCCGCTTAATAGTTATTTATGTATTTATGAATTTGGAATTTTTTACGCTCGTGTTTGTGTTAAAAATAGCAATTGGCCTACAAATATCCACGAATTTTTCATGCGCAAGGGCTAACTAAAAGACTCGCTGTCAAATTTGCAATTTGAAATCGATAGCAATAAAAAGGCATGGAATAAATTTTAACCCTTAGATTACCTAGTATATTTCTATTTCCAATAAAGAAAGGTTCAATTTATTAACTTGTAAAAACGAAAGACAATTTAAATCTAGATGTGTAATTCAACCAGTTCCTAATTCTTAGCAAAATTCTAGCCCTTGACACTCTACGCCGAAAAAAAGGGAATCAGAACCCACCCCAAACCTTTGCCTGGTACTTTTCCACAAATTTCTAAGCCTTGCGGTAAGGGGAGGCGTTAGAGAACCAAACCGGAAAAAAAGAATATAGAACTCACCTTTGAGTAGCGCTTGTTGTAAAGTCGGTCAAATCCGGAGATGCTGCCGACGACTTCATTGTCGCCAGTGCCCCAAAGTCCCAGGCGATCTCGTACCTGGGCGTATTTATCCAGACTCGTCACTGGTTTACTCATATTGGCTTCTGATTTTGTATGGGTATCACTGCTGTAAGAACGTATCTGATGTTGCTGTTGTTGGTGGTGGAGGGCGTGCAAACTGCGCTGCAGCTGATTCCAGTGATGTCGCGAGGATAACGGAAGTCCTTTGGGCAAATCGCTGGCTATGGCTATATCACCCTGATCCGTATTCGTATCCCTGTCCCTATCCGTATCCGTGTACGTCGATGTTGCGACTTCGGCGTTGCTTTGCGTTGTGATTCGTGTCGTTAGTTTTGCGAAATTGGAAAGTTCGTATTCGAGTGTGGTTGTCGTTGTAGTCGTATGATTTTTACACGCACGACTACTACAACCACACGTTAGGCTCTCCGTGAGTGTTGGGTGTGCATTGTTGTTCTTGTTCATGGGAGAGGAGCGCATATCAGCTGTTCGGTCTTGGCAGTGAGCACAACCGTTGCTCTCCCCGGTGCTGCTGGCGCTCAAAGAGCTTCCAACGGGAATTGTGGTCTTGTAGTAGCCGTGCTCCCGCTCTTTCTCGTGGTGGTGTGTGTGCATTGGCGTTATTTGGCCATGGGAAGGACTCTGGGAATTATTGGCTGTCGGATATACCGGCGTGCTGGGGGCGAGAGAGACAGAGCAGACAAAACAGGGGTAAGTTGGTGGCTGGGTGGTTGAGAGTGAGAGATTGGGTGAGTGGAACAATAACATCGTTGTGCTGGCATGCGAGATATTTTCTCTGTAATTCAATTAAAGAAAAAACTCAGAGCGCGTCAAGAGTGAATGAATGTCAATGCGGGATTGTCAATATAGCTGCTTTGCCAACTTTGTCGACAACTTTGTAATACCCTCCCAAAGCGCAGTAATAATATTTTCAACCTCTTCACCTTTCCATATTTTCTTAACTTCTTATTTAAGTACGAACTGCAAGGCATTACAATACCAACCTACTTACATACATTTATGTATTAAGCAACATTTTTAAATTATCGATTGTATTGAAAAGTTGTTTTTAAATTGGTCACAAATCGTGATAGGGTTTTTTCCGTTTAAGTTCTCTTAACAATTTTTAAGGGAAACTTGCACTTTGCACATAAATATGTATGTATTTATATGCAGGTACTCTATAATCATTGGGGCTAAATCAGCTGAGATTTTTCACCGCAGACAGGCCTTCGGGATGGAAACCGATAACCGGTGACATTGATTATCGGGAATCCAGAAACACACCCTCTTGCTTCATGGTCCAATTGTACTCGACCGATTAAAGTACAATATTTGACTTATTATTGTTGCGTTCTATTTTTACTCACAGCCGTCCAAAGGTTTTTCTGATCCCGGAACAGCGTCGGAGGATGGAGTACATGGTTCGTACTGGTGATGGATCCCACGCAATTATCTCGCTTTATGTTTTTGTCTGCGTTGCTGCAGCTTTCGTTCTAAACTGAGCCCCAACATTCGATTTGTTTTGCCCTCAAGTTGCGATTCTCTTTTACATTTCACACTATTGCGATTTTTGTTTTGGTTTTCCGCGCTCTTTCTCTCTTTGATTAGTTCGATCGGTTGTGCTTGTTGGCGGGGAAAAGCAGCTGACTGATAAGGGCGGTACATACACTTATCTATATACGAGCTATTAAGTGCTGATACCCATAACGTATAATAACAACAGTAATCAGTCTAATCAGTTGTCTGGCAACTGGAAAACATTTCTATGCGGCGTGAAAAACATGCGAAAAGTATTCCGCACGAACAGCTAAGGGCAAAATGATAATATAACAAAAAATGTGTTTTATTCATGTTGGTATTTCCTTGAGTTTTTAGGTGATAGAATAATGAGCTTTTAATTTTAATTTTTTTTAAATTTAAGTACCTATTTTTGGCCTTACAAATAGTGACGTACACTAACATTTCTCATTCTCAACAATGTTTTTCTAAGAATGTTCGTTATTATTAGGTATAAATAATTTGAAAAGACAGCTCGAGGGAAAAAAATAATTACCAACCGGCCCGAATCGAGACCTTAGCCTTAACCTTAAGTGTCCCGAAGCATTTGAAACCCCCTTCCTCACTTTGCACTTGAGTCACTCATACGCCCGGTGGGTTTGTACCGCTTTGGCTGAGAAGTCTGGTCAGTTCATTTATAACACAAAAATTGAAAGTAAAACACGACAGGCGAATAAATTGGAATATTTCACACATGTGTGTGTCCGAGTAACCTTCATAAATATTTACAATTTACTTCAGCTGGCTTTATAAACAATTAATTCTTTTTTGACGAGAACTTTCGTAAGCGAAACACACCTGTCGCTGCTAGATTTTTGTAACAAGTTCGAGAATCGGTAATTATTGATGTATGTACTTATTTTGTATGAAGGTATGGCACGTGCCAGGATTTTTTTCTATTGGTTCTTCGATGAGTAGCTCGTAAATCGCTGATAAAACGTTAGTGAGCCGCATCATTAAACACTAATGAAGTCGTGAGATATAGATTTATGAAAGGGGCGTGTTGGTAGGCGGTTCTTGCTTTAGGTTTCCACTAGAAAAAGGGAGGTAATTGCTGGGGTATTCTAGATGCATAGAAAAAATCTACTGGAAGACTTTTGGAGCCATTTCAAGTTTAGCTTTTGCAATCGATTATTAACTCAGAAGTTATGGTTTTTTTTAGTATTTCAGTAATATCCACAAACTTTTCAGTCAACTCTCGCTTTTTATAATTCCTTTCTTAGTTGGCAAGTGCCTTTTATTCTTTTTGAATTTGCAAACTATTCATTCCTTTTCTTACCCGTTTTCATCAAAATTCCTTATGGCGTTGCGTTCGGCACAAATGGAACTGGAATTACCCATTTTGAGTTTTATTTTCGGTTAATAAACCTTGGTACTTTAGGTATTAATTTTTAAAAAGAACCTTTGCACTTTGGGATCTAAAACAAATGTCTGCTAAAAGCACAATTGATAAATTTTCACACGCGAAATTGATTGGAGCCCTGCTCACATGGAATATCGTTTAAAAGCCGTTAATAACTGAAATTAAAAGAGCGTTTTAGACTAAAGCGCTGGATTAAGCGACTCTGAACCGCCTGAAACTGAATCAAAAACTAAACTCGCACTCGAAACGCGGCTTTGCGACTACCGGAGGCCACTTGTTAGCGAGCGGCCCAAAGGAGAATGTCCGCTGCAGGTGCGAGCGAGAGGGCAGCACTCGCCCCCTCCCTCTTACTCGCGCACGCAGGCAGCACGCGACATTTGTTCAAGAGTTGAGTCACTTCGGGTGGCCCCAGACGACTACAGGGCAACCTGGCTAAAATGAAAAAAATATAAAAACATATATATATACCCCACAAAATGTTTGTATAAACTTAATTTCTAAATAAATATTCTTACAAAGACATACGAAAGCATTTTAACTTAGAGTCTTGTATCTAGGTACTACTGTACTTCATTAATTGTTGCAGCCTTAGAGAAGCTTTGGTGTTGAGTTGTACTTCATTTGGAGTCACAAAAAACTTGAGCGGTTGGTTAATCGCAGTGACCTCTGGGCGGCTCGCACAAATGCATGAAGCAATTTGTTGCTGCCAATTAAAAAATAATAATTTCAGGTATAAAAGAAGGCAACTTGATGGCTGACCATTATTGATTAATGCCACAATGAATTCCGAATCATCCAAAAGTCAGTAAAGTAAAACGAAATGGTAGGCAATTTAGTAGTCGGTTTTGCCAAATATTAAACTTTTTTGACTGGTTTTCTGATTTTATCAGCTAGTGATTTCACCGTTGCTTCGATTGCCTGGGTGGCACTCGAATTTTAATTAGATTTGCTTTATTGCACTTTTGTGAGAATATACATATATCAGAATATATAAATTGCGCAAGTGTTTAAAAATCTTGTTCAATTGTGAAAATATGACCCGAAATAATTGCCGTGTTTAGTTACAATTTATGATTGCATTGTGTGTTTTTTAAGCATTGTTTATTGTTTGTAACTTTGCGAAAGTGTCACATAAAAAGTGGCAACACGATTTGAGTAGTGGTCAGGGTCAAAAGTGATTTCCATTACCTTAGATGATCCGCCTTTAACATTATTTTGTTAAATGTTTAAACTCAAGTTTTCAAGGGTACATACATATAAGCATAATTTGTTGACCCATTTGTAAAATAGGAACATAATTTATAAAGAATTTTGTGCAGACAGACAAACCACTGAAACCTATTTTGCTTTAATCTATTGCCATCCACTTAAACTATTTCTCAAAGTTCGCTTATAAAATTAACCGCAGAAAGATAGAGAAAACCACAAATGTTCAATGCCCCTGTATTTTTTCGCTAGTTTACATTCCTCATAAACTATTTCCTCTGATTATATTATCTAGTTTTTTTTTTAACCAAGAAAAATAGTTTCTTTTTAAACTTATCAAAAATAGTGTTTAATTTATATCAAGGAATTATATTTTTGAACTTAAGCAAAACACATTTTTGTACCTGTTTTAGGTACAATGTCGATGTTATAAAAGCTGCCAAAAGCTTTTACCTTCATACTTTACTTAAATAAAAATAGATGGCGCCAGTAAAGTCAACTATTTCACTGATAAATTCGACGAGTTTTATTAAATTATTTATATTTATTTTATATTGACCCCAATTTAACAACAGCTGACCTTTTGCACTTTTCTTCTGTATGGCAAAAGTTAATATTGTGCGCTTAACAGCAGTGAACATTTAACTCACATTTTTTGCTAAAAATGCAAATGCAAAGTGAGAACTGGAGCAAGACTGAATGATTCGAAAGTGAATCAAAGCCTCATATATCCACATTATAATATACCAGTCAACGTAATGAATTATGATTGCTATTTCAGATGGATCCATTGTGTGTGTCAGCTGTTTTCCCAGGTCCTACCGCATCCTCTGCTTCACCATATTTTTCGCTTTTTCCCATCTCCAATTTAATAACGTACAGATGAGGAGGAAAGCAGCGACGTGCAACAAGCAACAAAGCAATTGAGGGCCACTTTTATCATTAAATGATTTTACCCAGCTAAACCGGCGCAATTTCCACAAAGATGCAGGAGTAGAGGACCTGACTGAAAAGAACAACTTAAAAAACATATTTGAAATTATATAGTAAGTGTATTGCAAAATGATATAAATGAAAATTGAGGTAAACTAATTCACGTTCAAAGTCAGAAATTGATGTTCATTATTTCAAGGTATAGTTCTGATTTTATGTTTATAAACCACAAACATTTTGAACAGTGTATCCAAAGGTTGTGAACTGCAGGCGTTTCCAAGAATGTGGCGATTGCAAAAAAATGTGACCCGAGGATGGCGGTTTTTGTATGGCAGTGCAACGGTAATCTATCATAATTTTTATATCCTAAATCCCATTTTCGTATTAGAGAAAAAATGTCTGAGAGCAAATATAATAAAATGGCCAACACATCGACGTGGTTGCCAGCCGGAAAGTACAAAGGACGATGGAGGAGCTTGCACATTTATGCTCCTTGTCAAAGGATAACACACTCACACTCCTCAAAATAGTATGAAATTCCAGCCATCCGCTTGATTTTTCTCTATTTTCGATTCGCCCTTTTTAAGGTTCTCCATCTCTCTTTCGCACCGCACTATCTCTCTTTCTGTCTCTTTCTACTAGCCTTTGCTGGCCGGGTTTTATTTTTCAATGGCTTGACTTTGGCCAGCACAAAAACGTTCAAATGGCCAATAATTTTATGAGTCTCGCGTACACGATCCCACTTGGTTCCATCCCGGAAATGCCAGAATAGTTGCTCAAAGAATCTAGTGGGGGTATTGTAAGCAAATAGAACAGACTTTAAGGTACTATTATTAAAGTAAAAATTATTTTGAAAGTCTGGTTGAAAAACCATGCATGATGCATCGGCTTATGCCCTTTAAAGCCATCAATGTGCGATAAGAATTAATGGACACGTTGGGGCGTATTCAGAGCATCCAAAGTAAATTTAAATTAATATGCGATAACTATTTTTTAATATATGGCCAGGTGGTGTTGGGAGCGGCAAGTCAATATTTTATATTTAAATTAAAAACGGCAACGACCGGTAAAAATGCGACGAAGTAATGCGGCAAAAACCCAAACGAGCCAACGTGGCGTATAATTAATTTTTAAATAATAATATAAAAGGCAGTCAATAAAAAGTAGAGACTCGCCGATACAAAAAAAAAAAAACAGAACACCATGTTGCCGTTGAAGTAAAATCAAGAATATATGTAGGTTGATATTAAAAAAAAAAAAAAAGGTTTCACGCGTTTTAAACCGCTTTAAAAAATCACCGGCTCATCGATGGTAAGGGACTCCGCCCGGCTCATTATGCATTTACAACTACATTAAACGGGATGGCAGTCGGTGGAAGTCTGGTGGAGTTATATCTACCCGTACACCTCCGACCACGCCCACTCGGGAACACCGCCTGCGGGCGACAGCAGCTGGTGTCTGCGGCAGATGGCCGGAATGTCAGCGCCGGCGGCGTCCTGTTCGGGGGCATGTATTATTGGCCACTTGACTAGCGCGCCTCGAACGCTTTAATTGCCCGTCAAGAAGTCGATATTTCGCCGTGGAATTTCTCGTAATTAAAGGATTATCTTAGGTCGGCTTGGCTTTTAAAATAATGATTTAATTATTGCAAGCAGGTAACTACAGAAGTTTTGCTCAAACAATTAGCCAAACACTTTAAAGTTGTTTGGCCTATGAATAGAATATTAGTTACAAGGATTTTAATACTTGATAAATATTCCTTGTTTATTATTATTATTTATTATTTATTTGAGTTTATTAAATTTCATTCGGCCGTACAGCTACTCACTTCCTCCTTAATACTTTTAATACTTTAAAATTGTTTGTATAGGTATTGCAATTAATTTTCATTCGAGACATTTGTGAGGACACGTTGACAATGCTTTTCAGTTTGAAAAAAGAACGGCAAAATGGAGACAAAGAAGCGACAATCAATTTAATTAAAACTTTTAACAAGCTTTGCCTCATTTCACTTTCTGTCGGTTAGGCAGTAGGTTTTTGATTTTGGGCCATTTTTTTGGGATGCTCGCGGATATGGCAACGTTTCATATTTGATATTAATTAAAAAGTTTACGCTGTCTGCTTTCTGCTTTAAAACAAATTGTTGTCACAAGCAACAAAAAAACGAAAAAGCGGCAAAAAAAGGAAATCTGTTTCCTGATGAAAAGGCCAAACACAATGGCAGTTGCATGTGATCCATCAGGAGGAGATACGAAAAATGGCAGGACGAAGAGTGAAAGTCAGTTGGGATGGGGGGTTGGGGGAAATGGTTACGGGTTTGGGTTTCATATTGCAATGTCGTCCAAAAAAAGAACGCCAGCGGTGACGACAGCTGCTAATGTCACGCCTCTGTTCTGACATCCCTGGAAAAAATTCATAAAAAAGAGCAACAGAACAATGGAAAATGAAAAATCTCCGACATGACATAATCAAAGTTCGACTATAAAAATTGAATATTGACCTTCAATGGGTGTATCGCAAAACAAGCTTGCGATATCCTTAATAGAAACCTACATCTCTTATTAAAGTAATCTAATTAATCAGAAGTAACATTGCACCTTTTTGTAATATTTGTATCGGGTTTTGATAATGCTATTTGCCAAATAATCGAAGAGCTTGTTAAACTCTTAAATACAATTTAGCGCCTTGGAAAACATAAACCGATTTATCAATTCTAAACAAATTAATAGCTATTGAAAAAGTCTTCCTCATGCTAACAGACCTTCCCCATATCCATTTAAATCCGCATTCAAAAGTTTATTGAGTTGATGGTAACAATCGGCAAAGCGGAAAAAAAAGTAAATTGCTTCCGATTTTTTTTTTTTTTTGGGAAATTACAAATGTAATACGGATGAGGCATTTTTATACTTCCTATTACATAAACAAAATACAAGTGTGCAATTTTTCCAATTTACATAGATATGAAAAGATATATTTCCGTATTTGCTCTCTTTGAAAACACGAACATTGTTCGCATAACTCATAAGTCTACTTATGCTGGGAACCCTCCAGCAAATCCGAACATGCAAATGTGTGT